AAAAAACTTTATTTATGCGAGTACTATTTATTGTTGGCAAGAAAAAATTTTGTGGCTCTTTAAAAACTTTGAAATTTTGTAAATTGTAATTTTGGCTCTTCCGACTCAAAAGGTTGCCGACCCCTGCCCTAGGTAATTGATAATGAAGATTGACAGGTCGTTGTGGGGGGTCTTAAAGAGAGACTGAACATCTACAAAATATAAATAAATTTTATTTAATGTTTTGTATTATAAATTTTTTAATTTTCAATTCTTTCCAAATAAAGATTAAACCCCAAAATTTCTCCTTGTGTATGAAAGCATCATTTATTAAACTTGTAAATAAAAAAAGTATGAATGTAAAATTTTGCTTAGTTGTATTAAAGAATATTTATATTATTATATTATATTCGACAGACAAGGAAACATTTTAAAGTGGTTGGATACATGCCCTAATGATAATTGTGCCGTTAGCATTGTTTAAATTTAGCTCACGCTGTTAAAGAGATAATCGGATAATGGTTCCCATTGAATCTTCTTATTTTACAACAAAGACGATTCCTAGAATTGTTTGATTTATTGAATAATTATAATGCATTTTATATTACAATTTTCTTTTTGAATATGGAATCCGCCAATAAGTACGTAATTATTAAATTGTTCGATTCATTCCACGTTTATATGTAACTTATAAATTTAGTAAATCATATAGGAGTAGACGGAAATGTGGATCCTGTAAACCAATGAAGAAGACAAAGAAAAAAATAAATATAACTTCGAAAATAATTGAAAGACCAGGATATAATGAGTCTATTCATTCTAATCTACCAAAATGTGAAAAAATCCATTGATTGTAACTACAAGCAATCCTGCTCACTCCAACGATACCCGAGCCTAATGAGTAACGTTAAACTTTTGTATGAAATTAAACAAATCCGTAGCGATGTGGAGAATATAAACAAAACGAATAAAGGTATTCAAGACTCGATCCATTTTTATCAGGCAAATTTCACAAAATAAACGACAGACTTAACTCCCTTGAGAGAAGCCATAAGATGAAATTTCAGAATTAAAACAGAAAATTCCATCATAAAATTTGAACTAAAGTGTACACACGAAGAATTAAAATCTGTAGAATAAAGTGTTATTAAAGCAAAAAACTTTTTAACAAGATTAAAGAGAGTAAACTTAAAATCACTATCAATGCATGTGGCACTATTTAAGAACATAGAATTTACATAAACGGCTATCTTCCACAGTATTTTAGAATTTTATATATATATATATATCTCTAGTTTTTAAAAATGGGAAGATTTTAAGTACTTGTACGCTAGAATTTGTAGCAAACTTTTTCTCTAATGCCTAAATAATAAATATCTAGAAATCAATCATATTATTTCCAGCTACTAATGTAACTGTGGCATATTAGCATTCAGCAAAACATGGACTATGTAACCCACCTTCCGCTTAAAATAAAAAACTTTTGTGCCGAAAAAATTGAAAGACAACGCAACCAACATGGTGGTATAGTTATGTATATAAACAAAATATTAACCTTAACATTTACTAAGGAATATATATGTTATATACATCTGATAGTAATAACTGTTAACAAGGTAAATAACTCAATAACTAAATCCTTCCAAACTAAAAGGAATTCCACAAGGATCCATATCAAGCCCTTTACTTTTTAACATTTACATATACGACATATTAAAGATTACTCCTATAAATATCATAATAATGTATGCGAATGACATCGTAATAACCTATGCAGATCGGAATCCCAAGCAATCAAAAAATGTTAGCCAAACTAAGTATCTGTATGGAAAACTATTACTTAAGTATAAACGAGAACAAAACAAAATATATCTGCCTGGTAAATAGAAATAAAATAGTAAATTTGGATCAAATACAAGTACTGTAATAACATAAATATCGAAAGGGTGAATAGAATAAAATATTTAGGTATGGAACCTAAATTAAGATACACAGTAGTATTGTATAGCTTCAGACTTCGTTTTGAACCACAAGACACACTAAACAATGTCATCAGAGCATTATATAAACTACCTTATAATTCTACAGCCATTTTATATTACAACCAGGATAACATCGACAAAGTACTGTACGTGTATTATATAGAAAACATCATCTAGGTAGTTTTAAATGAATTAAACTATAAAAGAAAGAATCTTCTATTAGTACCCTGCTAAAAATAATTCTACCGACCTTCTAAATACGACTACAGATGGAAAAATACCCTCTAATATCAACACTGTTTCGGCCGAACCACGTCGATTTATCAAATGATATATAATTGGAACGCTCTAAAAGAATAATACAATTTAAAGATTCTATCAAAAGCTTAAAAGACGTTTAATTTTGTATGTTCATTGTTTTGTTTTATTTTATTTTTTCTTGTATTTTGTTTAGTCACTTGAAAAAGGCTTATGGTCACAGTGTAGTAAATAAATGAATAAACAATAATAATAATAGAATAGAATTATTGTCATTAGCCGTATTTATTTTAAAATATTTACAAGTAAATCAACAGATCGTTGTATTTCTTAAACATAAAGAAAGGTTCCTTTACATCAGCACGCCATGTAAATTATTATTTATTAAAATCTTTACACATGTTCTATATTGCAATTATAGTCTGTAAAGAATCGACTTGGGTATTAATAAGTGCTGACGTCATTAAGAAAGGTGCTGATTGAATTAACTGAAGTGACATCTCGCGTGACGTTGCTCTCGAGTCAATTCTTACCACAGACAAATTCTCTTTCTTACAGAGTGTGGTTAAAGAACTGTAATAAAACAATTAGAAAATTAGATCGTTACCACTTCATACAACACTTAATGGCTGAAATCAATTTCTAATATGGATAAAAGATAGAAATATAATGATTGATTGTAATTAATATAAAATTTACATATAATACAATGTAATTCTAATAATTTATTTTATGAAAGTATGGAAAATTTGAAAACGTAAGCAAACGTAGCTGCACCTACTGAGTAGCTGAAAGTTTCATTTTCTAGTTTATCAGTGCAGTTGACAAGATGATCACGTTGAGTTGAACCAGGCATCCCTTTATGAGCTAATAAGTAAGCAATTAATTGTTTCAAGATCGATTAATGCCACAAATCATAAAAACCAGCTTTAATAACTCCTGTGCGTTTTTAACGAAAATTTCTGAAATTTTGCAGGGAGGTTTGTGTATTGTGGGCTATTAAATTTTGGTGGTTAAAAGTCGACGAGGTGAGGAGATAATGGGTGATCGTGTGTGGTATCTCGAATAGAGTCGGACTTAATGACGATTTTACTCGTTGTTAGCATTTACAATTTTTTATAAAATTCATACCTACCTTCGAAATTAAGCTTTTTGCCTTTTTATAACAATTAAAAGTATAAAAATTTTTAAATGAAATGTAATAGTTGGCGCCACACACGTGGTTGTAAATCTTGCCGGGAAAGTTGCTGGATATTTTTTGTAATGTAGTTTTATAAAGTGTANTTTCCCGTTATATATAATAGGGAAAGTATGGCGATGGGTCAAAAAATGATCCCCCGAAGATTTTTGCACTCTTAAACCGGGGGACCTCGAAACGTCTAGAAATACAAAAACAAAACGAAATTTAAATGTTGTATGGATGCGCGTAGCACTATTTTGTTCACCCCCGTTTGAAGCTTAATAACTCCCGTACTTTTTGTCGACATTTTCTGGAATTTTGCGGGGAAGTTTGCGTATTACGAGGATCGATACTATAAATTTTTCGTGCTTAAAGGTCGAGGAGTGGTGAGATAAAAGGTGGATCGTGTGTCGTATCTCCAGTGGGGACGGACTTAATGACGATTCCACTGGTTATTAGCGTTTACAATTTTATATAAAACCCGTCCCTACCCCGAAAATTAGGTTTTTGCCATTTTATAACAATTAAAAGTATAAAAATTTTTAAATGAAATGTAATAGTTGGCGCCACACACGTGGTTGTAAATCTTGCCGGGAAAGTTGCTGGATATTTTTTGTAATGTAGTTTTATAAAGTGTAATAATGTTTTCAATCTAGGCAATTATCTTTGCCTAGAAATCTATTCAGTGTGCTTAGCTTTATTATTATATATAGTGTTTTCAATCTGTACACATCCGTCTAAGTGCTTTGGGTGTATTTAATTTGTTCTACATTATTGCCAATAGTTAATGGCGTTTTATAGAATGTATCTTCTTTATCCGATGTTCAGTGTTCTAAATGCTGTTTTTTGGCGTCATTACTTAATTCTGTGGCATTCCTGTGTAATTTTATCTTAAATGTATCAACAATAATTTGCTTATATACAGTATATGCTACATAATTAGGTAAAAATTTGTTAGATAATGACTAATCTTGATGAGGAGTTGGATAAGGTATTTTTGCAAGAATCAACGTCACAATGTTGTATTTGTGTTCCAGATTGGGACCTGTAATTAAAACAATTAAAAACAGTATTAAACATTAAGAATAAAATAAAAAAAAGAATAATAAAATTAGTATGCAAGACTGAACGAAAAATATTACTAGCAAACAGGCAAAACTCTATCGCAAATAACAAATGTACTGTACGAAGGATTGCATGTGTGAATGTATTGTTACAGTATATAATAAAGTGTGTAGTTTTAGTAAATGAACATTAACGGCAATTGATGGATTTCTGGATATCGTCGTTTCATATGGCAAGAAGTTTCATTTATCAATTTACGTCATATGATATTTAGCCTGTTGGTTTTCCTTATGGTTCCTATTTAGAACTAAGAGTTTGTTTTATTTTCATATTTTATAGGTGATTTCATAACTTTGTACACTGTTGATTTTCACACATATATAGCTATATGAACGCAGTTTATCTCAAACGCATTATAGAATTGCTAATTTTCTTGAGAATTACTATTTTTGACAGGAACTTAGTGTGGAGTCTACCAGATGACTTTTTGTTCCATATTCTCCATTATAATTGATGTAATTTTCAACAGCACTATCAGTTTTCTAGAAATTTTTCTGATTAAAAGTTCCAATTTGTACAGTTCAATTATTTGACCTGATTCAAACTGAGAAAGTTACTTTCCTCTTCTCATGATTGTATTCCCGAACTATATTTCGTAGAATTCACCCTAAATCTATTTTTTTTTTTTTTTTCATTATATTGCTGTCCTCTATTTTATACAATCATGTGTGCTATTTTCGATATTAATTGCAATATAACTGCTAAAATAGAGACGACACACTCGTTTTTGGACAAGTATATCCCCTACAAGGTATTTTTAGATTGAATTAGTTAGCCTAATAAATAGGGTTGTAATAAACTGGAGGGCTTATTACAACCCTATTTATTAGGCTAACTAATTCAATCTAAAAATACCTTGTAGGGGATATACTTGTCCAGGTTAACTAATTCGATCTAAATTATTGTTGTGGGCTAGAAACGTTATTTAACCTTATAACGTTTCTAGCCCACATTTATTTTTTATTAATGCTTTTGGTAAAATTACTATTATACGATATTATAATAAACCAATAATCAATTCTCTTGTATTGTTTTGTAATGTTCTTTGCAAACAAATACGAAGAGCAAGAAATGACTGTTCATGTGACAAAATTACAAGAAATCGGATAACAGTTAAACGAATTGAGCCAAGGGGTAATTGATTACATGTTAATTATGAAACTTTATATTCGTCCAGTAGAGACATTAATTAAAATACTTTGTCTGTATGGGAATCAGATTCATGTGTGTGTTATGATTATCATTATGATTGTCATTATGAAAGAAATGAAGAGACTTCCTGAAATACCTAAAGTGTAATTTAAGGGAGCATTTGACACAAGATGTATAAGCTTTGGCCTAGCATTTAATGTATTCTTTCCTTTATTAGATTCACTAACACTTGTGCCTTCTGTCAAAAATTTCTGAAATTTTGTACTGAGGTTTCTGTATAAAGGGGTCCTCGATGCTTTTACATTTTGATGGTTAAAGGTCAACGAGGTGGGGAGATAGGGAGATGTTATCTGTCGACTCCCTAGTGGGGACAGATTTAATTAATATAGATTCTATTCGTCGAAGGGATGTAACGACGGGGAGAGCTATGAAAGAGGGCAATAAAGTTCATACAATATATAGGCTCTTCAATACTAAAAGACTATATCTCATTTCAGAATAATCTCACAAGACTACTGTAGTTATTTATTGTATTAAATGTTTGGTAAGGTTGCATTAACCGTAAATACTGAAAAATTGTATATATAAAAATTGTATGAGAGGTCTTTTTCAATAAAAACATTTATTCCTCTCATCTTTCATCATATATCGTATACTTTATCAGGACATAGAAGGAAACACGCAGCTTGAAAGTTGCATATTTCCCATCTCTGACTTAGTTTTAGATTTAAAAATTACGTTTTCCTTTTTGGATCTCTGTGACAGCCCGTCCTGGCGAGGCACGAACCTACGACCGAACTCCCAGCACTCAGGGAACCGCTTGTCCACTGGTGGACCTTGTTTTAATTCTTTAACACCTAAATAGGAGCCAACTTCCCATAGAAATGCATTCCAGGATGCACCTTCTTGGCAGAACGCCTGTGTATTGTATTGCCGTATCCCACCAAACTAAACCAACCACGTTATTTTAAGCACAGTTTAGAATTCATATTCACAACGTATCTGAAAGACACAAAGCATTTTTAACTGACTTTTAGGCCACGTTACCTGCTAATTTCATATACATTTGACATTATTTTAAAATTATTTTTGGTAGTAATTCAAATTCCTTGAAAAGAAGTTGGCTTAGTTATATAATCAATAGCGTATTGTATAAAAAACAACTGAATAAATATAGAAAACAAATGAAAGAGAATGTTTTTGATTGGTTAATCGTTGCATGTGAGTTGAATAAATAAGTAAAAATGTAACATTTTCTTGCCAAATTGATGTAAAGTAGTTTCAAAATGGAGAAACGGTTGCTAATCTTACTCATTTTCTTTCTCCTCTTGATAAAAGTTTTAAATGCTCGTCATAAAAAGTCACAGTTCAAACATAGAAGATGTAATTGCGGATTTAATAGTGGAAAGGGAGATAGTGGTTTCCATGATGATGGTAATATAGGAGGCGAAAAAGACTACTATAGTAGTGTTGAAGGTAGAGGCGATTATAGTGGTAATAGAGAAAATTTCTATGGTGGAATTGGAGGAGGAAGCGAAGATTATGATGGTAGTGAAGGTGAAGAAGATTATGACGGTAGTGGAGGAGGAGGATATTATGATAGTAATGGAAGTGGAGGAGGTAACTATGATGAAAGTGGAAAAGGAAGGGAAGATTATGATGGTAGTGAAGGTGAAGAAGATTATGACGGTAGTGGAGGAGGAGGATATTATGATAGTAATGGAAGTGGAGGAGGTAACTATGATGAAAGTGGAAAAGGAAGGGAAGATTATGATGGTAGTGAAGGAGGAGAAGAAGATTATAGTGGTGGTACTGGAGGAGATGGAGCAGACTGTGAACATAGTAATGAACATGGAGAATTCTATGGCGATGAAATTGGGGAAAGTGGAGATACTAAAAGTGGAAGTGATGAAGATTATTCAAACAGTAGTAACAACAGTCAAGACGGCGAGAATGGTAATATTGAAAGCGGAAACAGAAGTGGAGATGAAGAGGAAGAAAGTGCTGAAGATGATGACAATTGAAAGAAAAGAAGATTGGAAGAACAGTAAAAGTTGTCACAAAAATAAATAGACTATTTAAATTTGAATAATAACATAAGAAAAATCAATTTGCAGATATTATAATACTGTATAATAGAAGGGTTAAAAGTACGAAATAATCTAATAATCTTAATGTTTGTTGTTGTAATTTTTTGCCCAGCAACACCGGGCTCATCTGCTAGTGGATAGATTAAAAGTAGGCGCAAATTATAGTCAGGTGATAGTCTACATTAAAGTTTATAAAATGTGCTATTATTTTATATTTACTCAACATTTTTAAACAAAATCACCAAAATGCCCATTAGCAAGCGGTCAGAAAAAAAAGCTATTAAAAATATGCACACTCCTACATTGTTTGGTAGTTCGGTGTCTCTCTTATCTCTGCTTTTAAATCTAGGTGACAAAATGCCGATTGAATAAATCCAAAACAATCCAGCCAATTTATTCAAATTTGAAGATGTTTATAGTACTCATCATAGAAACTAAACATCTTAAATTTTTTCCAAATCGGTTTACCGCTCTTTGAGATATTAAGGGTCAAAGTTGGCACTTTAATAACATTACGCGTATGGCTTTGGTTTATGATAATTTACAAAAATAAATATCTACTTCAAAAACTATTGTATATTTCGTTTCTACTTAGGGTATGTATCATTCATAAAGTGATAAAGGTTTTGTTGGACATTCGAAGAGGGGAGGGAGCTACGGAAAGTTGGACAGACTGGGACGAGAAAGGGAGGGGAAGTAAAAATTCCAAGAAAAATGCGGATATAATTTATGGCCAGCCCGATAGTTTTCGAGCATATCCTAACTCTCTGAATTAATTATAGCAGCTGGTGTCTGTGAGGACGAGTAAAAGGCTAGAGACAAACTCGTGCAATGATCCGTCAAAATCATTCTCTTTAGAAATAGAGAGGCGCGGAAATCACGAAATTTGCCGCAAAATCTAAATTTTTAACATTAAATTGAGTCGGTACGCAAGAATAAAATTCTTTTGTTGTTGAGAAAGGATCTATTGTTGACTCGTGCGATATTTTATTGCGAGTGTTTCTCGAGTTTTGCTTCATTTGTTGCGATTATGTAAGTTCAGACTACGATCTTTCTAGATTTAAGTACATTTTAACTTTGATAAGCAAAATATCACAATTAGCAGCGGAGGTTTTCAATAAGAATTGATCGGTTTCCTTCAGAGGAATTGGATCTTTTCATTGTTAACTTTCCAATAGAATTGTTGAAGCAAAATGAAAATTAATAAATACCCTACTTTAAATCTCTTATTCCCCGCTATAGTTTATGTATTACATTCGTATATACATTAATATTCTGTATGAATCGTAATTAATTAGAAAAATTCGAGTTCATTCGTTGTGTCCATTCCTCCATTTTCACAGATGTTTTTTGTTACGGTTGTGAACATCGATTGAAATACAGTCTGTATTTCAACCGATGTGGGAAGTATGTTTACGAGAACATACTTTAATTTTAAGTATAACTAAAATTATAAAATGTATTCATACATTTCGATGTTTCAGGATTTGTTTTATTCAAAACGCTTCCCATCCGATCGAAAATTTTCTCCCGAAATATTTCGATTTTTACTTTAAAATGTCTAATAAGAATGGCATGAGATGCGGCAAGTGTTTCAGGGTGTTGTACTGTACATGCATGGGCCACCTTTTCTTACTCGAGCATACCTTTAGTAATCTCTGGTGTATGCGTCGTGTTCTGTTGGCCTGGTTCTTTCATTTGTCTAACAGATAAATAGTAGTTAGAAAGAGGTTACATGCCTTAAGGGCCTTAAGGGCCTCATTAGCCTATGGAAAATCGCAGCATCACATACAAAATGCAAGACAATTTTTTCAACCATTTTTTCACAACGTGTTTTTTCATCGTGTCGTAAAATACAGTAAGTAATTAAGTAATGAAAACTAAATTTACAATAATAAATTACTGTCGATTTGGTTTTATTCGTATACGACAACGCGACACATGGGAGATCTTCCAATGAGGAATGACACCCGGGAGGTTTTTTTATGGGAAACTAACCCTTATTTAAGAATTATAAACGTGAATAAAACCCGTAAACTCCAGGTGGCCACCTTGTGAAGAGATACGAACCCACGACAAACTACTATTGTTCGATGGTTTTATCAACTTGGACAGGCGAATCACTATCGTAGTACTGAAAAATCATTAATTAATGTTAATCAAGTTTATTTTGCTAATTCCTGCATAAAATTTAATTATAATTAAACAATAGTCTATTTTCTAAGATTAACAACGAGTTGCTCAACTTTCCCAGCAACATTTAAAATTTTAGTGGTGCCATCTGTTATCATACTTTATTAAAAAAAAACATTTTATATTTTTAACTATTATAAAATGGGAAAAGCTTAATTTCGAGGGTAGGGGCGGATTTTATAAAAAATTGTAAATGCTAATAACGAGTAATAATCGTCATTAATCCGATCCTACTGGAGATACGACACACGATCGCCCATTATCTCCTCACCCCGTCGACCATTAACCACTAAAATTTAATAGCATCAATCCAATCTAATATATAAACCTTCAGGATTAACTATTTTATGAAAAAGTAATGTCTCTTTAAACCCATAGAAAGTCTCTACAAATCGCATATGCCATATTATTTCAAACTGATTCATTCCACCAGCCCCTTACCAGCTTGTGTCGCATATTTTCCTTATCAATATTGATAATTATGAATAAATATGTATAAAGACCAAAAAATTCTCACTAGTGGTGAAGATATAAATTATATTTTACTCCATAAAATAATCTAATAATTACTTACATAATATGGACTTTCTGCTCCACTTCATACTTCATTCTACAAACTGAAGGATGGATATCTTGAAACTTATTTTGAATCTGAAAAATAACAATACTTAGTAAATTTGCTGTACAAAAGCTAAAATAAAAGAGAAGTTAAAGAGAAATTTCGTGTCAAACCATTCTACAAAAGTCCACAATTCTTCATATTGTTCTTCAAATTGATGAGTTCATAGAAGAGTCGTTCAAATTCTTCTTAAATAGTATACAATAGAAACGATGTTATTGTATAAATTTGCTAATAAAGAAACTTTACCTGTGTTAATAAACCTGTATTAATGTAAATGGTAATGCAATCATTTAAATTGTAAAAAATCCCTAGAACTCTCTGACTGTCCTTTAAGTTCTGACTGTCCTCTAGAAAGGACTGTCTCACTGACGTGTCCTTTGAATGCTTCTTTAAAGGATGATCATAATTAATGGGTAAGTATCCAGAGTTCTCTGTACAAAGAACTATTGGTCAAATCTCAACAAAGTATGGCTAACATAGTTTCGATTTCTGGAAAAATATCATTATCTAAAATTTAGCCGCTAGGCGAAGTTTGGCGCTGTTTCTACTAAGACTTTTCGTGCAGGATTTTAAAAATATTTCTGTATAAATATAACATGAGCTATTTCCAGTTAATATTTCTAAAAGCTCTTTATATTAAAATGTGAACAGCTATTTCTACTAATCAATTGGTCCTGGAAGAGTAAATTTCGTAATGATTACCTTATATAAATCGATAAATTAGTGTCAGTTAGCATATTTAGATTTGAATTCATTGTCAAAAAATGTGGGAAATTATATTAATTTTCGTCACTTCTAATGTGTTGGAAGTTATTTCTGAAGGCGAAAATTTAGAAGGTGACAATGAAACTATTATAGAATATTTTAACGAGATAAATGATAATAATACTATTGCAATATCAGTTAATCGTCTCGAAAACATTCCTGGAGTCTCAATAAGTAAACCCAATTCAACTTCTATTAACAACAATACAATTGGCACGTCTACAAATCAGCCTGATCCGAATTGTGTCATTAGTGACAATGCAACTGAACCTTCAAAAAGTCAGCCTGCTTCAACTTTTTCAATGGACGATTATGACACAACAACTACTAATGAAACTACTTTTGTTACTGAAACAACCGAGATGGCTACTGCTACTGAAATAACAACACAGGAAGCTACTCAATGTGACAATTGCGAATCTGATGATCGCATTTATTACTATGATGGAAACTACGATGTATACAATAAAGATGAACATGATGATAGCTATTATGAAGATTATGATGGCTACGAATATGAATATGAGAAGTGAATTCGATGGTTAAAATCCACATTACCAGTTATAAATCGTATTTATCATAATAATAATGTTAATTATCATTAAAATGGTCATTAATTGTGATAATAAGTACAGTTAAATTGTGTCATTGCTGTAGTAAATGTCAATAAATCCAATTGATTTCAACTGAAAACACTTCTGTTATTTCATTAGAAAAGGTACAATAGTAGCAGAGCTCATAATAATTTTAATGTAATTGTTTTCTTATAAATTATTGTATTATTATTCGAATTATAAATAACAATCACTTTATAAATATGTTCTGTGTGTAGAGAATAATCATTTGCCAGCAGCGTCAACTGCATCGTTCGCAATCCTTGGCTGATCAGTAGACTAGGTTACAGGCTCTAATTTATGGGTGCCACAGCCAGAATCACATATTCAATCAATTATTTTAATTAGGCATATTATGTATACATTCAGAGTATTTCGTTTTATAAAATTTGTATGAAATATATAATTCTACTTAATAAGAAATGTAATAAATTAGAAAGCATTACTTACTTTTTAAGTTAAAATTGGAAAGAGTTTAAACTAGAATGCAATGGGTATATTTTATTATACACGTGTTACAGAATTTTTTTACTGTGAACGGAATTTAAGCGAAAATTTTCCTTTACCTTCGTATTTGATTGTACTTATTTGTACAGAACGTTCGAATAAATACAGGATATTTTATTCTCCTACGCAAAGTTAAATTAGTTTAAGGTCTTCCTCATATTGTTTTCATTTGTACGACACGCAGTAAATTATCAAATTGCTCTATCTGTTAATTAATCAACCTTTTTAATAAGTATAAAGACCATTGAAAAATTACACTGTCCTATAATAACACGCTCCATCATTCGTTAGGTCTACTTATTATTGTACCCACCACTGATTGCTGATAGTTGGTCGTGGGTTCGTTCCTGGTCAACGTGGAGGTCTTCCGGTTTTTTCACGTTTGTAACACCTAAATAGGGACCAGATTTCCATATAAAATGCCTCCCAACTCGACAGATCGTCCACGTCCACGTGCCTTATACAAATAATCCAATCTAATCTACCTATTGTTTAGTCTATTTCATACAGTGACTAGGACTGGATTTAGATTCGATGTAGCCTAAGATGTAATATGTAACAAGCCCTTCTCCGGTACCAAATAATGAAACGTGTAAACTTATGAGGCACTCGTAACACGAGGCCCTAGTTAATAGTGTCAATGTTTAGTTATTCTGTATATATACGCGTTTAAAAAATAATGTATTTAAGCCGAATAAGCGTATTTAAGCGAATAATGTATTGTTTTGTATTGTGTATTTGCGATCTCAAGTCGAAGATTTCCCTCGATTCTTTTCTGTGACAGAAAAGCTGAAAAAATAAGTAAACAATTAAATCTATTATATCCATTTATTGTTTGCTCCTTTTCTTAATTATTTAAATATCTACAGGGTGGCCCAAAAGTTATATATATATATTTTACATTAGTTTAAAACAATTTCGGGTTATTTTTCATTTCCAATGTAGCGCGAATCTTAATCTCCCCCATATTTCGGTTAACTGACTTTTGGCCCATCCTGTATATTAAACAACTTATCATATATACTGCATTTAAACAATGGAAAATATAGCTTTAGTAGAAAGTTGTGTGATAAAAATGTGCGTGTTAAACGCCATTAGAACGTACTGAATTCGAGGAAACGTTAATTTCATAATGCATTGTAACAATTACTGTGACGTATCTATCCGGTAACTGTTAATTGATATCACGCGCAACGAAAATTAACTCGTTTATTTTAATTTAATTAATTATTTTCATAAAAATGCCTGCAATAATGTCTTATTTTGATTGAATTATCACGCAGTTTACCTTATAAATGTACATGTGTACACAAACTACAAATTCATAAACACGTAATTAGGTCATTATACAAATGACTGTATCGACTGAAATTCTGGGAATATTTCCAATAATGAACAGAGCCATTCACTGAACTAGCGGACATTGAAACTATGCTGCCATTTTACCACTTTAGGACTTGCTGCTTTCTGTTCTTGACCCCTTCTCTTGTTTTTTTATTTCTCTGAGGCCCCATTATGAACCACCAATATGAATCCTCCTTCTTTACTTTATTAGCCCATGGATGAAGCCATTATTGTGATACTTGATAGCGGGTTCACGTATGACTGGACAAGTGAAGTTTCCCTACTTTTCTTCACGTGTGCAACAAATGAATAGTGGCTACTTTCCTATAGAAAATCCTCTTGAATTTAAGAGGTTAGTCTGTATGTCTATCTTTCTATTGGGAAAAAAATACAAGCATGTCTTTGAATTATAAGGAAGAGTATGGTTTATTGTATGAGCAGCTAAACGAACAGACAACCAAACGCATTCATCTAAAAAGGAAATCAGAACTGAGACGACTTAAACTTCGATTTAAAGTATGCAAATTAGTTTTAAAATAATAGCAAAAATTCAATTATTTGTACAAAAATTTGTCGTACAAACGAACATAATTTAAAGTTAACTCGAAGGAATTAATGAATGTACAGCTGAGAAAATAAAGGAAGGAAACTATTTCCTTGTACAATTGTTTTAATCTCTTAATGGATGGTATGAAAAATGACATCTTTCTATTGTCCCATTGGTTACTTAATGATTTAGGGATGATATAAAACTAGGGATTGTGACAGACACCAAAAACACGATCTCTCTTTCCTTTTTCATAAGTAAAATGGGGAGAGTTTTGATAATATTTTGCATTACATTGCATATTTTTTCAACGAATTCAAATCCTATACATACTACAGAAGGGCCTACAGGTGAATCTACAGAAACAACTTATATCACCACTGTTTACGAGGAAACCAATGAATACATTACTACTACAGAACCTGTATATAGGGAAGAAAATACTGATACAATTTATAGAACTTCCACCCCATATTATGACGAAAATATGAATGAAGTAACTACAGTTAACCCTTATTATGATACTAATTACGATGATGTAACAACTGATGCTGCTCCTCCTCTTACCGGAAATGAAGAGAACACTACTCCACGTAATACGGTAACAGAAAACAGTTACACAGAAGGAGTGATAGAGGAAACCACTGTTACACCCACTGATGAAATAAGAGATGCCGAAACAACTACAGAAGTGGACATGTATCAAACACCTGGCTATGAAGACACCACTGCAGAAGAAACAACAGGGGAAACCACTAGTACACTCTCGCCTGAGGGAAATGACGAAAGCTCTGGTGACGGAGATAAAGATGACGATGAAAACTCTAGTGAGAGTGATGAGGATAAATCTAAGAATCGAGGATGCAAAGGAAGGAGAAAGGGTAAAAAACAGAGAAAAGGTAAAGGTCATGGTTCATATAAAGAAAATAAACGTAGACATGGAAGAAAATAAAGTAAAGAAGATTGTCATAAATAAAGAAACTGAAAATTTCATTCAAGTGGAAATTGATGAATTAAATATAAAATAAAAGTAATAAATAATTAGCATAACACTAGTGTTTACAATTATTACAACGGATATAACGTGAGACACTGTATAAACCTCACTTTACAATTGTTCGCTTTACAACCCCTCATTTCTTACTGTGTTTCATACCTGAATCAATTTAAGTATAGCACTGTCAAACCTCTGAACAACGGTGAGAAATAGGGCCGGATTAATCCACTTTGGGGCCTTAGACATTTTCTTCTTACCAGGTCCCCTCCCCTCTCTCACAAGAAATAGAGCACACAAAAAATATAAAACAATAAATAAAACAAAACTAAATAATGTGAAAAACTAAAACAAATCTTCAATTTTTATTAATTAATAAAACATATTTAATACAAAACAATAAATTTTAGTTTTTCTAGAAAAGTTTGAACAGTTTGTTTATAAATTTAAAAAATTGAAATTTATTTTAATAGATGTCTAGCAAAAGTTGTTATACAATAACAATATTACCTTAAAATATTAATTGTCAACAAGACTATGTCTTGTTTATAAAATCGTATTACCTGCTGTGTTACCAGCTTAGAGATATGAAGGAGTACATGTCAGGAGTTGCAATTTGGCACAGAGTATTAGGTGCCCAAATCATGCGCGCATAAAAATAACCAGACTTGTAGGTACTCAGGGGACCAAGAATCGAGTCAAAGTAAAATACAAATGGCGACTCTCTCTACAAACAGGCAAACCGAAGTCAGGTGGTGAGAGTTCCACCCACAGTCGTTCTAGGAAGTGAACTCTGACCCTAGGACTTAATACATAGTATTTTCTTTGTTAAATAAAATCTGTAATGTAATTTTGTAAATTTGGGAGTGCTTCAAATATGACATTAAAACAGGGTTTATGTCATTACAAATAGGTTTTTTAACATTAGCGAGGTTTAGGCCGTTATTCTGTACGCATTTTTTAAGAAAAGTTTCTTAAAACGGTGGCTGTTATTGGAGGCTCGACTTGGTTATCACGCAATTTACCTTATAAATGTACACGTGTACACTGTATACAAACTACAAATTCATAAACACGTAATTAGGTCCATATACAAATGATTTTGTATCGAATGATATTCTGGGAATATTTCCAACAATGAATAGAGCCATTCGCTGAATTAGGGACATTGAAACAGGCGGGATGCGATGTCGCGGGAGAACACTGTACGAAAATGGCCCCTATTTAGCTGTACGATAAGAAAACCCAGAAAATTTCATGTGACCGGTCTGATAGTTAGAGAAAGACTTGCTATACGAAAATGACCCCTATTTTGGTGCTACATACGACAACAAAATCCAGGAAACTTTACTTGACCAGTCTGATGTATAAGGGAAAACTTTATACACAAAACTTACCACTATTTATGTGTTAAAAATAATAAACACTGCCAATCTGTACTTACTTTCATCAATTTTATAACAAATAAAATTGTGATAACGGAACATTTATTGTTAAATATGTATTTGATGTGGGTAGGCTTTCAGTTACAAGGTTACGCTATCATGTGATGCATATGACAATAGTAACACGCGAGAACGAATCTAAGTTGTCACGAAGAGTAAAGAGAATGAGCACGAATGGTTTGTACTCTAAATAATGCAGGTATTTTCCATATAAAACTGGAAGAAATTAAATGATAATAAAATATACTTTAATTTTGTTACGAAAGTTTGCGGTAACAATAAATAATGCGTCTACAAATTACTTTTGCTTGTATAAAGACTGGACGTTTATAGTAATAAAAGTTATAAGTTTTATATAACGGAATTACTGTATCATTACTGTAGTTACTCTACTGTAAAAGTCGTGTTGTTACTATAAGAGCTGCTGTTATTACAATATTTAATACGAAATAAGTAGAATAAAAAATAAATCATTTTTTCAAACATATCCCGGATTTTCCTACGCATTTTAATACACAATTCTCCTGAATAAATACAGGAAATTTAATGTTTCTTCCTACAAAACTGAAATAACAAACTCACTTTTACATTCGAATATTAATTTAATTTATTTTAAAATATTGTTATGTCACTGACAGCTATGCTATAACGTCACTAATTATTACATTTTTTCGTCACTCGATTACTCTGTAACGTCCTTAATTATTATATTGTTATGTTATTCATCATTACACTACTGCCCACCAGTAATTGGTGATGGGTTCGTAACTGACCAAGGGCTGATTACGTGCATTGTCTGAGATTATTTCACCAATTTATCCCTTAAATAGATGTCGCTTTTCATACAAAATCCTCTAGGAGGCAGATCTCTTGAGTGTTACGATACCTTACCCAATAGATTTAATCCATCACGCTGCTGTTACATTCATTTTAATATTGTTGCTTCACTACGAACAATATCCTTATGTTACCAATTATTGTATAAATACGCCCAACAACTATAATCATCCATATCCGTGCTGTTACGATCGTAATTCAATTACGACATTAATTAATAAATTGTTAGGTTACACTTCGTTTTGCTGCTGTTTATCACATTATTACAACTTTCTTACATTATTGCGTCACTGATTTTTGTATAGTTGCGTCATTACTACATTGTTACGATATTACTTTATTATATTTTAATTTTTTTAAGTTGGAGTGTTTTTTTTTCTATTTCATGCAACAGAAATTAAACAAGGAAAAAGTAATAGCAGCTGAATAAAGAAGGAAAAAGATTGAGGAAAAGTAACAGCACTTGGCATCTCATTGGTTTTAAACAAGTAAATCAACGAATTTTATTGGTTAATCATCCTAAGAAGAATCGAATAAATACCTTCGATACTGCAGTTTTATTGCCAAGTCTGGTGAGAAACAATCTTCGAGCTGTAAAAATGAAGCTACAGTTGTTATTTTTCTTGCTTTTTGCCTTTGTAGTTGCCGAAGTTATAAATGCACAGGCCGAAGACATAGGTAACGATGATAATAATGAAGAAGACCAAGAAGAAGAAGTCGATAATAGTGAAAATGAAAGTGCAGAAGATAATGAAGACAGTGGAAGTGAAGATGATGAAAGTGAAGATGATGAAAGTGAAGATGATGAAAGTGAAGATGATGAAAGTGGCGAAATAAGTAAAGATAACGAGGAAGAAAAACGCAAACGGAAATAAGAATGAATTTTGAAAAATGAAACTGTATTGAAAAAAAGAGAAAAAAATCAATTAAAAAATCGTATTAAAATTAATCAAAAGTTTAAATTTTGACTGCTGTAAAAATTTCTGAATAAAAACAATATAGAGCCTAACACCTGCATTCGTGAATATCTTACAAACTTTGTATGGAGTGTTAGTGTAGTGTAATAACGCTAAGTGGGATATACAGTCTTGTCCGTTCTATCACATTGTAGTAAGTCTGTAGTAATAAGATTGAAGGACAGGAATAACGTGTTCGAATACGGATACGGATTCCTTATAATTATGGGAACATTTCTTGTCGCGTCTATTTAACACAATGTTATAATCAAAATAATACAATACAATCGTGATTCATTCCTATCGGGCATTAAATTAACGTTCTTTTCCCGTCAAACAGTTTTGGAAATACTCTATGTAAGTCTGAATTTTTTCTAGCCTGTTCTCTTGCTCTGATTTGTCAGGCTCATACTCACGTTCACGCTGTCAGATCCTCGTTCAAACGCGTTACACGCAGAATACATTTATCATTCACTCGTGAATCGAAAGGTAATTAATCATTTACAACTTTCCCTTCATGCGAAAAGTAAATTTAGAGGTTTATTTGTACAGAGAATATGCCTTCCTGTATGGGCATCTACGGACCTATCGTTGATATCCACCATATGACATACTTTCTTACTATATGCTGCTGAGCACTGGCTGGTCGCTGGTTCGCGCTTCGCCAACAGAGTGGCAGGTTTTCTTCATGGGTCCAACACATAAATAAGTGCTAGTTTCTTGTAGAAAATCCTCTCAGAAGGTATTTTCCATTTGACAGATCGCCAGCATGCCGCACTGTCAAATCCCATCAAACTATCCCAAATCATTATTAATGTTAATATTACGTAATACCGTGTTAATTTGCGTTATCTTAGATCTTTCAAACAATCTTAACACAATATATTCACGAATGTTCAAAGTGATGAAGAAGCCTGCGTTATAAAACATGGTAATATCGCTAAATAAGAAAAGATCGTCTGAAAAAATTAGGATGAAGTAAAGGGTTCCTGGTTAATCTATTTCTGTACCCGAGAGCAAAAAGTTCAGCATTTAAAAATAAAATTCTGTGAAAGTGAACAATACTAGTAACTCTACTATGATCTTAAGATCATAGAGTTAGTAGAAGAGTGATGAAATTGAGGGTTGAAGAAGGATTTGAAAGAGTGCAGGGTAAATGTAGATCTCCAAAGCAGAAAAGAATTAAGAAGAAGGATCCGAAGAAGAGCAAACCTCAATTAGCTAAGAAAAGGCCAAGGGAAAGAGATACTATAAAGATATACAGGTGCGGTGGCGTAACTAAGATTCTGTTCAGATGATCTGGGAGAGTGATCTAAAAAGTACAGTATGATCAGAATGTAGAAAAGTTAAGCGTCCCTTAAATACCACCAAATAAATGTTCTAGAATGTTCCCTATACATCTAGAAGCAAATTTCGAGAACATATCTCAATATTCGCACTATGATTCGTATCCGATCTTCCGGTCTTCTACAAACATTCAATCTATCCGGTCTTCTTTAAACATGTCCAAATCATTAAAGTTTCCCTTCTCTCAATCTAATTTTAAAATTAGTGACACATAAGCATCATCGCTTGACAAAGGCACTCTTCTTTGTTACCCCGCTCATCATTTCAACATCCTCATTTTGTCCGCATTCGATTTCTGTTCTTGCTCTTTTTTCAAGGCCAAGCACTCTACTTCATACATCATTGCAGGCCCAGTTTTACAGTAAAACTTGCCCTTTGATCTTAGTGGTAATCTTTGGTCACACAACAGTCCACTTTATCACTTATCCACTCCATTCCCATCCTACTAATAACATCATTCTGCAGTACAAATCCCAGATACTTGAACCTTTCCCAATTCTAATTCCTTCGTCTTCCTTCGAGGTGCATTCAACCAAAGTTACACTTCACGTATATCTTTATATGATACAACATGTATTATAAATGGGCGAATAAAATTTCGTATTTTTCTTCATATTTAAACTAAAAAATTATTTTTTAGGTAAAGCACTAAAAATATTTTCCTATCGATTTAATTTCTAACTGGAATTCATAAGTTTGGATTGTTTGCTATTTACTCAGGTGATTCAAGATAAAACTGAAAGAACAAAATAAAGAACGTTTCATATGTTAAAATATTATTTGGCTTACATTATTTAATAAATGTCGTATGAACCAACATAAGAATTTAGTTTATTTCCTCGTTTTTTAGGGAAATAATATTAAGTGCTGTGTTTCTTTACAACATATGGTCTTACCGAAAGTTGAACTTTATAACCTAAAACTTAGGGCGACAGTTTTGGCAAGGCGGTTATCGAATCCAAAGAAGCAACTCTCTAGGAATTTTTCATAGACGTTCTGTGATGAAATAAGACAACGCAACACTTGGACGACATACTAAGTGGAGGATTTTTCCCGAAAATTCTTTTATGGAAAACTGTTCCCTATTTATGCGTTAGACACTTGAAAAAACCCGGAAAACTCGGACAGTATTCGGAAAATATCCCCTGAAAGGATTTTCTCCCTTATTTATGTGTTGGACACACGAAGAAAACCTGCCAATCTGTTAGTGAGGCCAACCAGCGCTCAGCAGTATAAAATAAGAAAATAGAGCGGTTGAGACCGTCGTATTCAGCCGAAAACGTGAATGGCGGACGATCGAGCGCCTCCATCTGGCAATTCTAGACGGTCGATAATGGTGTTCGCTACGTCTAGCATTGCCTGTAGAAGATCGGTTTAAGCTTCATTTTTTTGTGTTTGGAGTTAAAATTATGATCAATTTTATTAAAATAATGATTATTTAAGCATTTACGAATAATATTGTAAAGAAACAGACGATTTTAATCCAGAAATTATTTAATTATTCAATTTTTTAGCAAGCGATGCGAAGTATCTATAGAATTTACGTATATTTGCCTTCATAATAGCTTATCTTAACAAGTAACAATATAAAAATTAATGTAACAGCGGCCTAATGGGTTAAATCTATTGGATAAGGTACCGTCACACTCAAGAGATCTGCCTCCTGGAGGATTTTGCATGAAAAACGAACATCTATTTAAGGGATAAATTGGTGAAATAATCTCAGACAATGCACGTAGTCAGCCAGCCCTTGGTCAGGTACGAACCCATCACCAATTACTAGTAGGCAGTAGTGTAATGATGAACATTATACAATATAATAATTAGTGCCGTTACAGCATAATCGAGTGACGTAACAATGTAATAATTAATGTAACAATATAGCCACCACGAACATAAAAAGCGAATAAATAAGAATGTAATAGATAATCACTGACGTAAAAGTACTGTATAATAATAACAAGTATTAACGCAACAATACTTTAAAATAAATTAAATTCATATTCGAATATAAAACTGAGTTTGTTATTTCAGTTTTGTAGAAAGAAACATTAAATTTCCTGTATTTATTCAGGAGAATTGTGTATCAAAATGAGTAGGAAAATCCGGGATATGTTTGAAAAAATGATTTATTTTTATTCTACTTATGTCGTAGCAAAGATTGTAGTAACAGTAGCTCTTGTAGTAACAATACCATTTTTACAGTAGAGTAACTATAGTTACGATACAGTAATTCCGTTATATAACACGAATAACTTCTACTACAAACGTCAAGCCTTTATACGAGAAAAAGTAATTTTGTAGACGTTTTTTTTTATTGTTACTACAAACTCGTAACAAATTAAAGTATATTTTATTATTATTTAATTTTTTCAGTTTGTGGGTGAGAGGCAAACCCGCGACCAATTACCAGTGTTCAGTGGTTTCATGCACTGGTGATTGATCCTGGACAGAATGCCTCTGGAGCCCATCAGTGTCCACGTGGATAAAATTAATAAACAGTTTTAGTTGGTCGTGGGTTCGCGCTTCGCCAACGAATTTGCCTTGTGGCATCTTTCCGATTTTCTTCTTGTGCCGAACGCCTTAATAGAGACCAGTTTTCCATAAAAGACCACACCTTCCACTTAGCAGGTGGCCCTTGTGTACTGTTGCCTTAAATCATCAATCCAAACCGTAACTAAAACAAAAAACTGGCTACGATAATTTAAGCTTTAACTAAGCTGAAATAACTAAATAATTAATATAAGGTATCTTACAAGTTTGTAACCATAGGAGTTATGTTGATCTTTATTCTTTTACTGGTAAAGCCAATACTTTACCAGAATAATGAGAAATAAATTAAGTTATTTTGGTGATGAGGATCTGCGATTTAGCACGTTGCATCCGTATGTCTGTGTATGAATTAATGAGAAACGTGTTAAACTCGAGAATTCTCATCACCTAAATAACTTCAATTTGTTTTTCCTTACTCAACGCCATGTAAAAGAATAAACGAAGATCAACATAACTCCTATTGTTTTAGACTTGATTATTAACAATACCATTTTTCTCATAAGGAATTAGCAATAATTTCCCATCATTCCAGGATATCACGTGCCTCGACATCGTTGTTCCATTGTTGAGATATCTTTGTGAAACCTCTCCCCATGCTCATTACTGACGGCGCCCAAATATTCGGGGAAAGAATTTAAATGCGAATGTAACAAGTATAGTTTAAGGAGCATTATACAATCTATTTTATTGTAGTCTTCAAGTAATTTTTCTACTTTTCTGTTTTCTCTGTTGCTCAAAAACTGTGTTACAACTCTTTTAAAAGACGTCCATGCATTTAGTTCAACGCCGTTTAATTTCTGAGCAAACTGTGCATCCTCTAGTAATGTTCTGATTTAAAGACCCAGTAATAGTCCTATAACTTTTAAGTCTCCACATATCTGTACTTTAATATTAAGTCTCTGCATCAAGTATTTTTAAATTCCATAAGATCACAATTCGAAAACCTTACATGCCAGGGAAATTTAACTTTATTTTCGTGTTCAGCGCATGGGAATTAATAGAAAACACCTGTTTCCCACGGTCGCAAAATGGCTGTAAACTAGTGTTATCTATCGATAAAGTAATTTTCTTTAGTAAACCGAATTCTAATTACGTGCTACACATGCGGCATGCCAATAAAACATGAAAAATTCCATGTGGCCAACTCGTTAGAGAGGTGCGAACCTGCATTGTTCAGTGGTTGTGAATGAGAATAAACTATTTGTTCATTGTGTATGAGATGGAACTTAGATTCATCATCCGAAATCATCAGATCCGCCTGGCCTTATTTTCATATTTACAGATATAAACATGGATTTTTCATAAGGTGGATTGAAAATTATGATAAATTTTATCGGAAACGTCATTAATGGGTAAAAACTACTCCAAATGCAGAAGTTTTAACCCAGAAAGTTAACTATGTGATGCTTTAACTCATAATTTAATTGTTGTATGATGACTAGTAAAGTTTATTTCCTGACCTTGAAATATTTGAATATCTTCCACACCAACCAAAGGGAAGAAAACAATTCAAAAATTCGAATTTGCTTTGTAAATCTGTTTGATAGGTTACGGCAACACAACAAAAGGGCGGTCTACAAAAGGAAGGGGCCTCCCAGGAAGATTTCTTACGAAAAACTCGGCCTTATTTAGGTGTTGAACAAGGTGAACAAGGTGTTGAACTCGAATTTAGAGGTTGAACAAGGGAGAAGTACTGTACAACCTTACTTATTTCTATGTGATTTTATAGACACCAGATGGCGTAATGAGGTTATGCATTGTGCCTCGTACGAAAATGTAGTGTAGTAGTATCTTTTGATTTTGAACGATATTCAATCAAATATAACAATCTATATAGGCTACCGGTATATAAAACACAATGCCTGTCTGTCTATCTGTTCTTAATGCATTTCTAAATCTTGTGACCAAGTTTTTCATACCTATTCTCTAGGACCCTGAGGAAAATATCTTTAAACTACTTCTTGATTTTATTCCCTGTTAACTCCCAGCCGCATTGACCGATCTGCACCAAATTTGTCACACTTATTCTATAGCAACTTGCGGAGAATATAGGCTACCACTCCTCCCTCTTGATACTTCTCGATAAAAATAACAATTGGAAGGGTAAAATATGTTTTTATGACTTTTGTTTCTATTATTTTTCGCATATCTGCTAGTGAAAATACAGGAATGAAATTTCAAGAATAAACGCTCCTTCAACACAAAAATATCTTTCAAACTTTTTATTAAAATTGAAAACAGAATGAATTATATTTCTAAAATATTAATATCTCGCATTACGTCTACGTTTTTCTTTCCTCCCAATTTTTTTTAACAGATTCAACCAGAGAGACAAAGAAAAGAAAAACAATATCAAAATGGAATGTTTCATTTTTTTCCAACAGTTTATGAAAGGTTTATTTCATATTTTTATATATATAATTCACTGAAGCTGTTTAAAATATATGAACATCGTTTAAATTTTTATACTTTTAAAATCATGCCATAGAAATGCCATATTATGCCATAGAAAACGATGTGTTACTCTTTGTGGATTGTATAGAAGAAGAATGCCATCGATCCTTTGTATTAAATACTTTTTGTAATGTTTTCCCTTTTTTTCAGAGTACAAGTAACTGCTCTTCATTTAATAATGAAGAGTAGTTTTTTGTAATCAATGATCGTTCGAATATGTGGCATCATATTATAAATTTAAGTAAGATTCTGTGTTATAACCTTGCTAAAACTTTATCTTTGTTTTATCTGCGCCTATTATTTTGGTAAGAGATGCAGAAATACATATTAAGTATAATTAAAATAACTTTTTATACTTACTTAATCTTACTTAAAGGAACTTAAAAAGGTTTTCAGACACACTACAGTTTACTGATAGAGCAAAGTATTATACAGTATTATAAGTAAGAGTGTATTATTAGTACAACTTTTATTCACAGTATACAGACTCTTATATATTATATAGATTAATAATTTAAGTCTATAATCTCCAAGTGTTAAAACTTTCGAGCAATATAAAACAGATTATATTGTAACTTTTTTAAAACAAAGTTATAAGCTGTATAAATATAACCTTCTAAGATGATATATGATAGTGTATAGACTCTAACAGCTGGGCTGAATAATTTTTACCTACTCAGAACTTATACTGTAAAGTTAAAAACGATTTATACTCTTTCTCCAGTCAAGAATATTCCTCAATTCTCTATTCTAAGTTTTTCCATACGTTATATAAGTTTACGTTTTAGTACTCATGCCCTCTAAAGTATGCTGATGATATTAAGATTTGCAACAATAACCCAAGTCAACATTAAATAGAGTTTACTTTATGAGATAACACTGCAAAAATACTAAATTTTTCTCCACTTTATGGATCTTAAACATTGCCAGACAGGTAAATTTCGGGCTTAACGGGCCAAATTATAACAAACTTCTATTCAATTTTTACTTGTATGGGCATGATGTACAGAACAACTCTGATAAAGTTCCGAACGTCTCATTCAGAGCTGCATTTTTTCCTAAAAGGACAATCTTATAACATGTAAAATAGTACATGAATCGTAGAATTGATTTTGCACGGGGTGTTCATAAATTACGTAACTTAGATATAGGTTTGTGGGTATGAGAGTAATCTTTACGATGCGTTATAAAAGATGGAAATGCTTACAAAAAAACGTTATGTAATGCTAAGCTTTCAACTCCTGGGTAACAGAATGATTCATTTTTGTTTCTGAAATGTTGCATAACAAACCATACTGTTTATCTCACTGCACGTTCATTAGAATTTACGTGTACTTAATAAAATAATATGACATTCGTTACCCCAAGCTGTGTATTATTCCTTAAGGGGATCGATCGAAAATATGCCTTACGTAATTTTGGAGTCGAGTATATGCGACAGTGTTACGGAAGGTGTTACAAAGAGGTAGAATGGTAGTTAATTAAAAACGTTTAAAAATAGCTTTACATAATAGCATAATATTACGTAATTAAATTAATAATTATTTATAAATGTTATTTTGTTAATTAGTTGAACTTTATGGTACTACTCACTTTGATGTTCTGGCATAAATCTGCATTTGAAACGATTAAAAATACATAAATTTGGTGAAAAACTAAAACGAGAAAGCAAGAAATATTCAGAAAATTGTGTAATAAAACACGTAAAAAACATCTAAAAAATAAAAAATATATAATTAGATTACTAAATAAAAACTAAATTGGTTAATTGATAATAAAGTAAGGGATGTAGAACGTATTAAAGTTTATCCATCAAAATTAATTACAATTTTCCCTTGATAGTTAAGCAGAAACTGCATTGTAAATATTTAAAAGTAATTATTTTTTAAAAAATTGTAATCAGTTTTTCTACAAAACCTTTGAGTATTTTTTTATACTTATTTCCAAACAGGAAACAAAAAAAAATAATTTAATGATCTGTAAAACGACTCGTAAACATTAATAAAAAAAATTGAGCTTAATTGAATAAAAATTAAGTTTATTTTCCGAATAAACTTTTCCTCTTTTTTTTATGTTTATAAAAAGGATTTAACATTGAGAAATTTGAATTACTTGATTAAAACGTAGCTCATCACATACCTTTCAATGAAATTTATTTTACTTTTTATTTCTCTAAACTGCTGTTTTTTATTTTGTAAAATTTAACAAAAAATTAAAATATTCTGCTGTAATTATATATTGTAAAAAGAAAGAATTTTACCTAAAAAATACAGTCACACTAACTCTGGCAATAATTCCAGAATTAGTGTGACTGTGCACGAATGGGGTGTGCGAGTGTTTATTAGTGAGTGTGAGTATGTGCGAGTGTGAGAGTGTGTAAGTAAGTGTGAGCGTATTGAATGAGTGTGTGTGAGTGTATATGAGTACAGTATATGTGGATGGGTGCGTATTTAAACCTCGATATAGTGTCCTACCGAATAAATCTATTCTTGTACAGTACAGCATTAAGTAAGCTGATCTTTCTATTATATAACTCCTCCGTATATAACCACTGTACTGTATGTGGGTTTGCTTCTTACAACGAGCAGGCCTCATAGAGTTTCTAGAGTTTTGTTTATGTGTTTATCACTTTTGACTTTTAGGTGATAACGACGGAAAATCATGCAGATATTCAAACATAGTGAAATGTTCTGTAGTGTTATGAAACACGTATTCATTAACTCTATTCAGGTTTAACAACCACATAATAACGACGGTCCTACGAAAACACAATCAAACCTCTAAACAATGGCCATCGACGGGAACATTAAAAATGGTTATTTTGTAAGCATTTCAAAGAGAATTGTTCCTAAAAATATGTCCGTCGTTTAGAGTTGGCCGTTATTGCAGGTCTGATTAAATTAGAAAGTTTATAAATATATAATATATCAAATTATCACAATATACAAAAGAATCAACAATTATGTGGTGATTTACATGGCGATCCAAAAGTCAGTTAACCGTGGAGGAGCATTATATAATAAAGATCTTAAATTGGCTATTAATGAGGTTATCTTAATTAATAACAATTGGAAGAAGATTAATTACAGAAATATACATAATTAGTTTTATTATTTTTACACAGAAAATTCCATGAGAAAATTCCAATATATGGAACTATTAATTTTCTTGCAGTCTTTCAGGATTGTTGTTTACAGTTATTATGAACAAATTAAGTAATTATGAAGAAATATCCTGTTACTAACAAACTGTTAAGCTCTTGGAAGTTATAGTTCAGTGGATATAAGTTACTACAGACAAACCGTAACGACTACAAGATATCTTACAAGAGGTATTAGCTTAACAACAACGATGATGATGATGCCCGGAGACAGTAAACCTATTTGCAGATCTTTGTTCTATCCAACGAAGACAAATAACCGTAATTAAAACAGAAAAGAAACAGCAATAGCACTAAGAATAAATCAACTATAAAAAAAATTCCTGTATTATCAATTTATCTGGTCCATTTTTAAAAGAATTATCTATCTTAAACGTTACTTTAAACCAGAGGTAAAAAAGTATTATTTAAGTGTTTACATTATTTATTAAGGAACAAAATTCAAAATATTTTTGGAAATAATTCAATTTTAATAAATAAAATGTACTATTTAATTTTCCGTGCTTTAAAGTGCTTTTAAAAGCTTTTAGATCCGCTTTTTTCTTGTTTAACTTTGATTAATCTTAGATGAAGACAAGAAGTTCGAGTAAATATTTTAAAATCTTAAAGAAAATTTGCATCGTTATATCTTTTTAAAAAATCAGGAAATACTCTTGCTTTCTACATATTAAAAAGATTTTTAATTGAAACAAGGTAAATAGGAATCCTCTTATTACATTACAAAAACGGCGTAACATCGAAAAATCAATGTGGAGTACTTGTAAAGTTTTAAAGTACAGTTACTTTTTTCCATTTTACACACTACGGATCAGTTAATTAGATGTAAAAAAATACGTTTCTAGAACATTAAAATCGAATAACATTTTAAAACCTGTCTAAACTTGTCTAAAAATACCACAATTAATTAAAAACGACTATATTCTATTTAAATTTCACGTTTCCACCAATAAAATATAAGAATTTAAAAATTTGAAAATACAATCCAATCATCGCTTAGAATGACTAATACGTAATCAATTAACTGACCAATGAAGGGAAAAAAGTGTTGAAGAATCATAACTTAAGCGACCAATACAAGTGAATTTAAAAATTAACAATTAGCCAATAAAATGAAAAATATATATTACGTAAACAGAATTTATCCAATGGAATTTAATTAACCGTTAAAAATGAATTCAAATTAATCAATCAAATTTAAAATGCAATTAATTTAAATTTGAAGGCGAACTATTAAACTTTATCGATAAACAGTACGTTCGTGTAACTGTCGTCTTTCTCTCAACTTATTAATTTTTAATCAAGTTGATTAAAAAATTATTCCTATTAAATTTTTTAAATGTTTTCCGTATATTTATATACAAAGAAAGGAGGAAAAAGAGCTGATATATAATTAAACCCTATCGAATTTCTAATTGCTTTTCGTATCAAATGATAAAAATTTAATAATCTTAAGTATGTTTGTTTACCTAGAAAGTTTAATTTTTATTTTTAATCGAAAATTTTCCGAATTTTTTTAAATTTTAATTTTGAAATGTATACATTTACTGAGATATAATATTCTTAAATAAATTTTAACAATTAAACTTATACGAATGAAAAATAATTAAATGAATGAAATTATATTAAATTTCACAGTATCCTTTTACAGTTGAGGGAATAAAATTGAATAGCTTTAATAAATTTAGAACAATGATAAAGGTGAATCAACAGGATACAAAAATAAACGATTAGCCAATAAAATTTCGCGTAAACAAAATTAAGCCAATAGGATTTAATTGACCGTTAAAAGTAAATTCAAATAAACCAATTACTTATTTAATTTTTAGAAAGAGTAATCAAGCTTTCTGGAGTTTTAATAATTATTTCTGATCTTATTTTATTTTAAAAATTAAAACAGAAACAAATATTTTATAAAATAAAACAAAATAAATTTTTTTAAAAATTTATTTTGTTTTATTTTGTAAAAATTTAATTAAATATTTACATACAAACCGAAACAGCATTAAAATTTGTAATTTTTTATTAGATTAGTAGATAAATCTTACACACAATAAAGCATTTTTAGAAGAGAAAAACTAATAATTTCTTTAAGGAAATTATTCATTTTTCTAAAAATGCTTAATTTTGTACAAAATTTTATTGGATTTAAAAATTTTTTTTTTTAAAAAATTAAGAATTTTAATTTTATTTAATTTATAGTTTTTCCAACTTTACTTTTTTCAAAATAATAACATGTAATTTCTTTAAGAAACTCTTCTTTGAAGATTTTTAGAAAAAAAAATGTCGTTTTATTTCTATTATTTTACTTTCTAAACACCTAAATAAAATTATAAATTTTTAAAGTAAGCTGTACAGAATTTTATACATTTCTTTTAAAAGAATTTCTTTTTATAATTCCTATTTTATCTCTTAAATAGATGTTGATGTGACTTTCTGAGAAATTAAAGAGATAAATTTCTTTTTTTTACTTTTTAATATTTATTATTTAATATTTTTTTATGAAAATTTTTACTAAGAATTCTTCTGAAATCATGATATAAATTTAATTTGAAATGAATAATATAATTTTTAAAAAAAATTTTTTTAATTCTAGAATAATTTTTATAGAGCTTGTATGGAATTATTTATCTTAATAATTTAAAAAATTAATGATAAAATTAGGAGCAGTTAAAATGTGAATTTTATAATTTAATAAGCATGTGAAAATTTTTATAAAATGTTATTTAAGCATTCCTTTGTGTAAACATTTTTAAAGTTTCATGAAATAATTGCATTTTTTTCTGATCTTAACATTAGATTGTAGTCTGTAGTAATCAATAATTATTTAAAAATCTGTTAAGCGCAAAGAATAATGAGGGCAATTGCTTCATTGCAAAGTATTGATTGTAATGAAGAAATTGTAATTGTAAAATTGTTGATTTGTAATAATCATTTTGAGTTTAATATTATCTATAGTTACTAGAGTTTGTGCTATTAAATATAATGCATCATATTAGTTGTATTAGATTTATTAGATTTTTCGCCTGATCTTAATGCTTTCTATTACTAACTTCACTAGGTTTATTAGCTTGTGCTTAATTTTAATGCTTTTTATTAGCCTACTATTTATACTAGGTTTATTAGGTTTTGCTCCTGACTTTAATTCTTTGTATTACTAGTTTTACTAAGTTTATTAGGTTTTAAACTTGACTTTAATGCTTTCTATTACTACAATTTTGCTATAGAATTTAATGTTTTTTATATTTGCTAGGATTTGCGCTATAAAGTTTAATGCTTTCTATTACTAAAGATTTACTGGGGATTTAATAGGATTTGAGTAAGGAGTTTGATATTTAATTGTTAAACTTCTATTTCTTTTTTTAGTGTATTAATTTTTTTAACCTAACTTAGTATTCTAATATTAAAATATAATTAAATCTATATATAATCCACATGTAATCCTATTTAAGATTAGGCTATCAAGTTACAGTAAGCTATTGATTCATTGTTATATTGCGTTCAGTAAATTTTATTGCCAAGAGACAATTTTACGAGTTGATGTTATTTATTACCCATCGTGTATCATTGGCTGTAAGTATCATAAGTATTCTTTGTCATATTTCTTCACTTTATTTTGTTATTTATTGCTATAATAATATCAAACAGCATTTAATGTCCTGATAAAAAGTATCAAATATCAGTACTAATACATAATTTATTTTTAAGATCTCTTTACTGTTTACTCTATCCGAAACTGTATGATGTGATATTAATTCTAATTATAGAAATAAAGAAAATTTTTCATTTATTTAATTTTTATATCATCTAATTGGATAATAATTCATTTGCTCAATAAAAACACTAAATAATGTAGTAAAAAAGTTTCTTTCCTGAAATTTTTCGAGTGAATTATTGGAAAAATAAAGGAAAAAATATAGTACGAACCTTTTTTTCTTGTTTTCTTTATTTTATACTTAATTTTTTTACATTTTCTAATTTCCAGATACACACAAAAAAATTTACGGACGTTAGACAGCTCTTATCTTCATGTATTTTTACAATTAAAAAACAAAAAGGTTGGCCCATCATCGATTGGAAGCTTAAAGGAATGAATCTGAAATCAAAGCACTTTATAATTCAACCATCAATATGATGTTGACTTACCTTCAGATGCATTTTAACTCTCGAATTTTTCGAGTGTTACAGCCTTTACTAATTTATTCTTCAGTTAAATAGCTTTTGATAATACACATTCTATGAAATTTACTTCATGCTCGTATTCTTTTGTACACTCAAACTGTCGAGAACTGTTTCAAACTTCAGATGTAGTTTAAATTACTTCAATAAATTAATATCCAAGAAACTTTATTCGTTTCTCGAACAATGTCAAGTACCAACGACGATGCTCAATAACATTATCATTAACCATAAATTAGAAAACTTTTTTCCAGCTTGGCTTCTTAGTTCTGCTGGTCTGCACGCTTCGATTCGTTTTGTATGCGATTCCATTCTAAATTGGCAATTATCTTTCTCTGGACCTATACACGCAGCGTAGGCCATCGCATGCGGAATGTACGTCTGTTCGAACACCCCTCGAAATAGATGAGACATGGGTCCGTGAGCGTAAACTGGTACGTCTTCTCCACCGTGAGTGTCCCATCTACGAGGAACTGCCGACTGCTGTATGTAATTTTTATCTCCTGTTAAAATATTCGGATTTAATCAACTATCCTTGTTAAAATTATAAATGAATACAAGAAAATTATCATAATTACGTCGTAAAATTTTGTCATTTACTTCGTGCGTAAGGAGTCAAGCGTAAAAGAGTGATTCTATGTTTCTCTTAAAGGTAATTAGAATACTCGGAGATTAATTCCTTCCTAATCTTATACGTTAATTCCTAAAGTAATGATGACTTTTACATTCCTAGCTGTTATATAAGAGGGAAAGTATGACAAAGATATGGCCTCGCCCCTTAATATCTCCCGAACCAATTTGAAGACTTAAAGGTAATAGTAGCAATTATTAAAAATGAAAACAAACAATTAATACCGGGAAAGTCCAACAATAACGTTGTCATCCTTTTTAATGTTAATTTATATTTACTATCAATTGCTACCACGAGATTAGCTAAAATTTTTTATGCTTGATATCTCAATTGGCGGCAATATTAATAGGTATTAAAAGTGATTTTTCATCCTACCCGTATTAATTCCAGATATATTTTCTCTGCCATTCGGGTGATTCTTATTATATCCTGGTCCATTCGAATATAACAAGGTGGTATATGGCATACCGTCAACGTCAGATACTTTATCATCTACACCTGTTATATAAATTTTTTGGAAATATTTAAATGTTCAATTTTTACGCTAGTTCACTTATGTAATTAATGGAACACATACCAAAAATTGGATTTCCTCTCTTGGGATAACCACCGAAAGTGAAAACGTGCGAATGATCTGAAGTGACCACAATTAGCGTGTCCTCTGGTTTTGTCATCTCGAGAGCAGTGACAACAGAATATTCAAATGCTAAAGTATCAGTTAATGCCCTGCGAGCATTATTAAAGTGATGTGAATGATCGATCCTTCCACCTAATTATAAAAATATCAAATTTTATATCAATTATAATAATATAAATTATATTAATTACATTATAAAAATAAACTTTATAAAACTGGTACTTTTATAAATATATTTATTGGCAGAATCGATCTTCTAATGAACGATTAACAAGAGTTTCAACAGTCAATCATCATTAATTCTTGATTATCTGATATGAAGAAGGTAGAATTTAGAATAAAAGTAAAACAGATTATCCAAAATTCATTCAAACTGACTTTTTACACAGCCTTTCCACAATCGATTTATTCTGTAGATAGAAAAACTTCAATATAATTCCGTGTTCTGCACGGTTTTTATATCAATACTCTTGTATTAAGTTTACCCTAGGAAAATGAAATTTGTTCAGTTGTCACCGCGTTTAAATTTAAACGAGATGAAATCTTAACTTGTTTATACAACAAAATCTGAAAACCACTCGTTATTTCCTTCTGAACAGTATTCTGTTACTGATAAATATGGCTACATGTATACCTGATATGTATATCGTTACGTGTGTAGGCTTACCGTTACGTACTGGCGTAACAAAACGTCAAAACTTTGCTTCTAAAATTTTAAATGAAATTACTTTCTGACTGGGATTATTTCATATTAATTCTTTATCGATTAATTAACTAAACTTGCCTAAATTTCGTAATAATCTATGTGCAAGTGTAAGTCTATCTCTTTCTGTGTTTGTTTGCCTACGTCTATATCTATATATCTGTAATATAGTCAAACCTCTGAACTACGGCTGCTGCTGAGGAAACATTAAAAAATAGCCATTGTTCGGAGGTTTTTCAGAATGCTGTTTAAATACAATCATTATCGGGAGTTGGACGTTATTACAGGTTCGACTGTATAGAGTATAGTCTAGTGTTAAAGTAGTATAAATTCTTTTTAGTTTGGATAATCTCAACGAACGAGCAATTATTCATTATGACATTGTCGTGCTGCAATTTTTTATCATATTTTTAATTTATTTAATTTAAAATACACGCTCTCCACCTCAAATTACTAGTAGCTTGCTGCCCCTGTACATCATACTTTTCCTTTAATGATAGAATTGTGCCGGTCATCTATTAACTGCTTTGCTAACTGTTGGGGAAAAAATTTGAATTGAATTGAAATAACATGACTTCCGGTTTGCATTAGAAGTTCGTATATAGTTAATCGGGGCCTTCTGCCCCTAAGTTTTCAACATCTGGTCTCGACATTCAGGAAAGACAGTCTGACAGCCGGACAGACAGTCGAACGACAGTAGGAATTTATAGGCCTACAATTTTTTTTTTTAAATTGCAGCCAAAAATGTTTATAACCTGTTTTAAAATCATTTCATACGAATCGATTTTCTTTTTTTCAATTACATTTAATTTGAGCAACAATTAATTCACTAATTTAAATAATTGAGCATTGCATTATTAAAATAATTATCTAAAATAGCTAATCTTTATTTTTACTAGACTATTTAAAAAAAATTAATTCAGAGATAGGATTGTTTAAAGTTTTATAATTTAAAAACGTATTTTGCTATTTATTCTACTTCAGGTGCTGTCAACTATCAAATTCTTTAATCTTTTTTAAACAATATTTTATTCGAAAATAATAGCGTTGATTCCACTGTAGCGAAAGTAATAACGTTACAAGAAACTTGCCAATATTGATCTATCTGTAAGCAACGGTCTCATTGTTCAGCCGAGTTTTTAGTGTAGGCTACTGCTCCAACTATTCAAGGTAGCTTTTAAAACCCTCAACTGATAAAAGTTCATTCAGTGACCATTTCAACTATTGTATCTAATTTTTAAACTCTTTAAGTTTCCTTTCAAGTAAAGAACAACGTCTAAAGTAGTGATAAGAAAAAAAATTCAATAACTAAATATAGCTGGCAATTGTATAGGTTAGATAAATGATTTTATTGCAGCTTTTAAGTGAAAAGAGTTCTTGTAAAGCAGAATTTCTGTTTTGAGTTAGAGTATTACTTTTATAGTAAATATAAAAGCAGTATTGCTTTCCAGTAATCAAGTTTCTTAGTGTATTAAGTTGTTCATATTATAGGCAGAGTAAGTTCTTAGCAGTAATACCTAATCTATAGAGACAGAGTGTCAGATCCGTATGGTTAGAGTGTCCTTAACTATCTCCAATATTGTCTATAACTCCTTTTGAATTAATTATATACATGTTATAATACAATAGTCATTAGTGAAAATGAACAGTACAGTACAATAGACTCATTAACAGTGAGACTATTAAAGAACATGTATATTTTAATAATTGATTTAAAAGAATTTATAGACAATACTGGAAATAATTAAGGACCTTAGCCAGACAAAGAAGAATACTGTGGGTCTACAAGTTCGGTGTTGCTGCTAAATACTAAAGTCTAATTAATACTTCTAAATTAATAATAATGTACAGTACAACTTATAAATTGATGTAATTAAAAATAAACGTATGTTTTATAATATTCTGTATTGTAAAAACGATTTAATACGTAACTACAATAATTTATGGCAGTTAATCTATGTTTGAAATGAACGTTATTCGCAATTTCTCTTTTTGATAAATAAACATTATTTTGTTGTCGATACTTACCTTCAACCATCAGAAAATATCCGTGAGGATTTTTTCTCAAAATTTCGATAGCTTTTCTTGTCATATTTGCCAATGATGGCTCACCATTTGGTCCTGTATCTCTATCCGAATCGTAAGAAAGATGACCGTGTTCGAAAAGACCTATACAGATATATAAATATATATAAGTTATATATNTCCAGTATTTTTTTTTAAATACATAAATATTACAATCGAATATTCATCTGAAATGTAATATTTTCGAAGGAAAAAACAAAAAAATATGAAATGCATGCTGTAAAAATAATCTTCAACAAATTCTACTCTTTTACAGAAGTAAGAACTAAAGCAGAAGTTTAAAAAGAAGAAGAAAATCTGGCAAGAATTATTTTTAAAAATAATCTGTACGGTTAAGCGTATAAAATTGGAATAAGTATAGAATAACAAAGCAGACTGTATTACAACTACTAGTCCCTTTTTTCCTCTGTATTTTACTGGCATACCTTCTTTTTTTAAAGAAAATACATCAATAATACATGAATCAATGTTAAATTCTAAAATTCAATGTTTTATTTAATATTTTGAAATTTAAAGATAAACTCCTAAATGGTTTTTCTGGTATTGAAACCTAACAGATTTGTCTTGCAAGCAACAAAACTGAGAGTAAATATTGATATTACCTAATAATTCATTGTAAAATTTCACCACCCTCAATGTATGTAGCATGTAATTAAATATATTCTTTTCGACTCATTTGTATATGGTTCTAAATATTTTTAGGTACTGAAGCGAATAAAAAAATTTTATAATCCTGTACGATACTATAAAGTAAACAAGAGTTTCTGTAATGTAAAGCACGATACTTCTGTGACCTGTCTCTCTATAAGAGTACAGCTGGTGTGGAGTTGTAATATACTCACATTTATATTTCGTCCAGGTTCATCTTCAACTAGTTGCCTGGCGAGATCCTTACAAGCACTTTTAGCATCTTCAGGCATTTTATCGTCGCTCTCCCAATATCTGCTCGCTGCGTGCCCGTATGCAGCTGCAGGTGTTGCGTGTGTAATGCGTGTTGTCGTTACCACACCCGTAGCTTTACCTATAATAGTGAAATACATGTATTTATCATTTTAGCAGTTTAATATTACACTCGTAAACACCATTGTTTGAGTTTAACAGAATGTGAAAAGTAATCGGGATGAAAAGGATTATGAATTTTTGGTATGCACGTTTTCAAATCCAGATAAATTGCAGTGCAGAATTGATATATAGACACCTAACTATTAGTAAATTCCACACAAACTAATGGTATTTTCGAAAATATTGCTTATTGAACGAGTGTCGATTAAGATTTTTTTTTTCTTTTCTTGGTTTTTATACGTTCGATATTAAAGAACTAGAACGAAATAATACAATAGAAATGAATTTAATTAAATATTTTTAACGATATTTTCTCAATTTTAGTAGAAAATATATTTAATTCTTCTACTTCATGAATNAAAATTAGGAGCAGTTAAAATGTGAATTTTATAATTTAATAAGCATGTGAAAATTTTTATAAAATGTTATTTAAGCATTCCTTTGTGTAAACATTTTTAAAGTTTCATGAAATAATTGCATTTTTTTCTGATCTTAACATTAGATTGTAGTCTGTAGTAATCAATAATTATTTAAAAATCTGTTAAGCGCAAAGAATAATGAGGGCAATTGCTTCATTGCAAAGTATTGATTGTAATGAAGAAATTGTAATTGTAAAATTGTTGATTTGTAATAATCATTTTGAGTTTAATATTATCTATAGTTACTAGAGTTTGTGCTATTAAATATAATGCATCATATTAGTTGTATTAGATTTATTAGATTTTTCGCCTGATCTTAATGCTTTCTATTACTAACTTCACTAGGTTTATTAGCTTGTGCTTAATTTTAATGCTTTTTATTAGCCTACTATTTATACTAGGTTTATTAGGTTTTGCTCCTGACTTTAATTCTTTGTATTACTAGTTTTACTAAGTTTATTAGGTTTTAAACTTGACTTTAATGCTTTCTATTACTACAATTTTGCTATAGAATTTAATGTTTTTTATATTTGCTAGGATTTGCGCTATAAAGTTTAATGCTTTCTATTACTAAAGATTTACTGGGGATTTAATAGGATTTGAGTAAGGAGTTTGATATTTAATTGTTAAACTTCTATTTCTTTTTTTAGTGTATTAATTTTTTTAACCTAACTTAGTATTCTAATATTAAAATATAATTAAATCTATATATAATCCACATGTAATCCTATTTAAGATTAGGCTATCAAGTTACAGTAAGCTATTGATTCATTGTTATATTGCGTTCAGTAAATTTTATTGCCAAGAGACAATTTTACGAGTTGATGTTATTTATTACCCATCGTGTATCATTGGCTGTAAGTATCATAAGTATTCTTTGTCATATTTCTTCACTTTATTTTGTTATTTATTGCTATAATAATATCAAACAGCATTTAATGTCCTGATAAAAAGTATCAAATATCAGTACTAATACATAATTTATTTTTAAGATCTCTTTACTGTTTACTCTATCCGAAACTGTATGATGTGATATTAATTCTAATTATAGAAATAAAGAAAATTTTTCATTTATTTAATTTTTATATCATCTAATTGGATAATAATTCATTTGCTCAATAAAAACACTAAATAATGTAGTAAAAAAGTTTCTTTCCTGAAATTTTTCGAGTGAATTATTGGAAAAATAAAGGAAAAAATATAGTACGAACCTTTTTTTCTTGTTTTCTTTATTTTATACTTAATTTTTTTACATTTTCTAATTTCCAGATACACACAAAAAAATTTACGGACGTTAGACAGCTCTTATCTTCATGTATTTTTACAATTAAAAAACAAAAAGGTTGGCCCATCATCGATTGGAAGCTTAAAGGAATGAATCTGAAATCAAAGCACTTTATAATTCAACCATCAATATGATGTTGACTTACCTTCAGATGCATTTTAACTCTCGAATTTTTCGAGTGTTACAGCCTTTACTAATTTATTCTTCAGTTAAATAGCTTTTGATAATACACATTCTATGAAATTTACTTCATGCTCGTATTCTTTTGTACACTCAAACTGTCGAGAACTGTTTCAAACTTCAGATGTAGTTTAAATTACTTCAATAAATTAATATCCAAGAAACTTTATTCGTTTCTCGAACAATGTCAAGTACCAACGACGATGCTCAATAACATTATCATTAACCATAAATTAGAAAACTTTTTTCCAGCTTGGCTTCTTAGTTCTGCTGGTCTGCACGCTTCGATTCGTTTTGTATGCGATTCCATTCTAAATTGGCAATTATCTTTCTCTGGACCTATACACGCAGCGTAGGCCATCGCATGCGGAATGTACGTCTGTTCGAACACCCCTCGAAATAGATGAGACATGGGTCCGTGAGCGTAAACTGGTACGTCTTCTCCACCGTGAGTGTCCCATCTACGAGGAACTGCCGACTGCTGTATGTAATTTTTATCTCCTGTTAAAATATTCGGATTTAATCAACTATCCTTGTTAAAATTATAAATGAATACAAGAAAATTATCATAATTACGTCGTAAAATTTTGTCATTTACTTCGTGCGTAAGGAGTCAAGCGTAAAAGAGTGATTCTATGTTTCTCTTAAAGGTAATTAGAATACTCGGAGATTAATTCCTTCCTAATCTTATACGTTAATTCCTAAAGTAATGATGACTTTTACATTCCTAGCTGTTATATAAGAGGGAAAGTATGACAAAGATATGGCCTCGCCCCTTAATATCTCCCGAACCAATTTGAAGACTTAAAGGTAATAGTAGCAATTATTAAAAATGAAAACAAACAATTAATACCGGGAAAGTCCAACAATAACGTTGTCATCCTTTTTAATGTTAATTTATATTTACTATCAATTGCTACCACGAGATTAGCTAAAATTTTTTATGCTTGATATCTCAATTGGCGGCAATATTAATAGGTATTAAAAGTGATTTTTCATCCTACCCGTATTAATTCCAGATATATTTTCTCTGCCATTCGGGTGATTCTTATTATATCCTGGTCCATTCGAATATAACAAGGTGGTATATGGCATACCGTCAACGTCAGATACTTTATCATCTACACCTGTTATATAAATTTTTTGGAAATATTTAAATGTTCAATTTTTACGCTAGTTCACTTATGTAATTAATGGAACACATACCAAAAATTGGATTTCCTCTCTTGGGATAACCACCGAAAGTGAAAACGTGCGAATGATCTGAAGTGACCACAATTAGCGTGTCCTCTGGTTTTGTCATCTCGAGAGCAGTGACAACAGAATATTCAAATGCTAAAGTATCAGTTAATGCCCTGCGAGCATTATTAAAGTGATGTGAATGATCGATCCTTCCACCTAATTATAAAAATATCAAATTTTATATCAATTATAATAATATAAATTATATTAATTACATTATAAAAATAAACTTTATAAAACTGGTACTTTTATAAATATATTTATTGGCAGAATCGATCTTCTAATGAACGATTAACAAGAGTTTCAACAGTCAATCATCATTAATTCTTGATTATCTGATATGAAGAAGGTAGAATTTAGAATAAAAGTAAAACAGATTATCCAAAATTCATTCAAACTGACTTTTTACACAGCCTTTCCACAATCGATTTATTCTGTAGATAGAAAAACTTCAATATAATTCCGTGTTCTGCACGGTTTTTATATCAATACTCTTGTATTAAGTTTACCCTAGGAAAATGAAATTTGTTCAGTTGTCACCGCGTTTAAATTTAAACGAGATGAAATCTTAACTTGTTTATACAACAAAATCTGAAAACCACTCGTTATTTCCTTCTGAACAGTATTCTGTTACTGATAAATATGGCTACATGTATACCTGATATGTATATCGTTACGTGTGTAGGCTTACCGTTACGTACTGGCGTAACAAAACGTCAAAACTTTGCTTCTAAAATTTTAAATGAAATTACTTTCTGACTGGGATTATTTCATATTAATTCTTTATCGATTAATTAACTAAACTTGCCTAAATTTCGTAATAATCTATGTGCAAGTGTAAGTCTATCTCTTTCTGTGTTTGTTTGCCTACGTCTATATCTATATATCTGTAATATAGTCAAACCTCTGAACTACGGCTGCTGCTGAGGAAACATTAAAAAATAGCCATTGTTCGGAGGTTTTTCAGAATGCTGTTTAAATACAATCATTATCGGGAGTTGGACGTTATTACAGGTTCGACTGTATAGAGTATAGTCTAGTGTTAAAGTAGTATAAATTCTTTTTAGTTTGGATAATCTCAACGAACGAGCAATTATTCATTATGACATTGTCGTGCTGCAATTTTTTATCATATTTTTAATTTATTTAATTTAAAATACACGCTCTCCACCTCAAATTAGTAGTAGCTTGCTGCCCCTGTACATCATACTTTTCCTTTAATGATAGAATTGTGCCGGTCATCTATTAACTGCTTTGCTAACTGTTGGGGAAAAAATTTGAATTGAATTGAAATAACATGACTTCCGGTTTGCATTAGAAGTTCGTATATAGTTAATCGGGGCCTTCTGCCCCTAAGTTTTCAACATCTGGTCTCGACATTCAGGAAAGACAGTCTGACAGCCGGACAGACAGTCGAACGACAGTAGGAATTTATAGGCCTACAATTTTTTTTTTTAAATTGCAGCCAAAAATGTTTATAACCTGTTTTAAAATCATTTCATACGAATCGATTTTCTTTTTTTCAATTACATTTAATTTGAGCAACAATTAATTCACTAATTTAAATAATTGAGCATTGCATTATTAAAATAATTATCTAAAATAGCTAATCTTTATTTTTACTAGACTATTTAAAAAAAATTAATTCAGAGATAGGATTGTTTAAAGTTTTATAATTTAAAAACGTATTTTGCTATTTATTCTACTTCAGGTGCTGTCAACTATCAAATTCTTTAATCTTTTTTAAACAATATTTTATTCGAAAATAATAGCGTTGATTCCACTGTAGCGAAAGTAATAACGTTACAAGAAACTTGCCAATATTGATCTATCTGTAAGCAACGGTCTCATTGTTCAGCCGAGTTTTTAGTGTAGGCTACTGCTCCAACTATTCAAGGTAGCTTTTAAAACCCTCAACTGATAAAAGTTCATTCAGTGACCATTTCAACTATTGTATCTAATTTTTAAACTCTTTAAGTTTCCTTTCAAGTAAAGAACAACGTCTAAAGTAGTGATAAGAAAAAAAATTCAATAACTAAATATAGCTGGCAATTGTATAGGTTAGATAAATGATTTTATTGCAGCTTTTAAGTGAAAAGAGTTCTTGTAAAGCAGAATTTCTGTTTTGAGTTAGAGTATTACTTTTATAGTAAATATAAAAGCAGTATTGCTTTCCAGTAATCAAGTTTCTTAGTGTATTAAGTTGTTCATATTATAGGCAGAGTAAGTTCTTAGCAGTAATACCTAATCTATAGAGACAGAGTGTCAGATCCGTATGGTTAGAGTGTCCTTAACTATCTCCAATATTGTCTATAACTCCTTTTGAATTAATTATATACATGTTATAATACAATAGTCATTAGTGAAAATGAACAGTACAGTACAATAGACTCATTAACAGTGAGACTATTAAAGAACATGTATATTTTAATAATTGATTTAAAAGAATTTATAGACAATACTGGAAATAATTAAGGACCTTAACCAGACAAAGAAGAATACTGTAGGTCTACAAGTTCGGTGTTGCTGCTAAATACTAAAGTCTAATTAATACTTCTAAATTAATAATAATGTACAGTACAACTTATAAATTGATGTAATTAAAAATAAACGTATGTTTTATAATATTCTGTATTGTAAAAACGATTTAATACGTAACTACAATAATTTATGGCAGTTAATCTACGTTTGAAATGAACGTTATTCGCAATTTCTCTTTTTGATAAATAAACATTATTTTGTTGTCGATACTTACCTTCAACCATCAGAAAATATCCGTGAGGATTTTTTCTCAAAATTTCGATAGCTTTTCTTGTCATATTTGCCAATGATGGCTCACCATTTGGTCCTGTATCTCTATCCGAATCGTAAGAAAGATGACCGTGTTCGAAAAGACCTATACAGATATATAAATATATATAAGTTATATATTTTACGTACTATTTCATTTATGTTTGATGTAAATTTATATTATAAATTACAACGATGATAAATATATTTTATGTACTGTACTGTACATAAATTCAATGCAGGTTTATATGAATTTAATCAAGTTCGGATTATAAATAATTGAATAATATTTTAATATTATGTGGTATAAAAGTGAGTAAATGCTATTTTGCAATGTCATGATACAGCTCCATAAAAATAAATAATAATAATTACAAATCTTGCACTATAGTTTTAGAATGCTAAACTAAAAGATTAATGCCTTAAAATTTTCATTTCTTTTAAAGGAAAAAAAATAATAATATATATAAATTTTATAAACTAAACTTATAAAAAGTTAACGACTTTATAATTATATTAATTTTAATAAACTTTGCTAATTTTCTATACAAAATTTCCGAATATTATATACTATTATATAACCACAAGATAATTTTTCTACTTTGTAAAACAAAGAAAACATTATTACATTTTCATCTTTCTTTATTGACTTTTACACTAAAGTGATGTAAGCATTTTAAATTAATATTTTATTGTAAATAAACATATTATATGCCCTGAAATTACACACAATTTTAACTTTAAGCTGGTAGTGTTTTTCAAAATTATTTATGCAGTTAGAAACGTTTATCTTCAGTTTACTATATACAGAAACGTTCGAAGTTTATAAACATATCCTGGAAAGACAGAGTAAGAAAAATATTTACTAGGTATTCGGAAAGAAATCGTATTAATTATAGAGATTCAGAACATTTATCTGCTGCCATGAGAGTATTATTTAAATAACCTATTATTAAATTAATCTATAATTATAATAGTTTATTATTTGAATATCCTATATTGGTTAATTTTAATTTTCATAAATTTTCTAGAAACTTTAAATTTTTCTAATCACTTTCGTAAACTTTCTTTTGCCTTAACTTGTTCATTTTAGCACATTGATTTTCGTATTTAGAATTCTGTTCGTAAGTTAAGTTAAAGATGATTGCTTGATTTCGTTATTTTTTTTTCTTCTAGATGTTGAAAGTTAAATGTATTCTGTTTCTTAAGTGTTTAAAATTTTCACGTACTCTACTTTTAAACGTCTAAAAAATACACGTATTCTATTTATTAAAAATTTAAATAGTGCTTATTTTATATATTCTATGTTTTTGAATCCATTTGTAAGTCCGAAAAAAGGGAAGTAAGTGAAAAAAAATTAAAAGATTTTATATGCATATGTTTATATACATATAATCTAAGATTTTGTATGCAAAAATCAATTGTATAAAAAATTCCTGCTCTTCTAAGTTAAAATATAAAAAACTTGACAGCATATATAAGTAATTAAAAGTAACGATTCAACAGTTTAAAATGATGTCGAGTGCTCTTGCTCGATTTTACAAACGCTCTAACAGGAATTCTAAGAGACCAATAATTTCTAATTACACTAAAATATATACTTTAAGTAATAATAAAAGCTTAAAAGGGGTATTTTTATTGAATTTTGATAAAAATCTACATTTAAAAAACACTGACACTAGCTGAAAATTGTGTGTGAAGGCATCTGTTACAACATGTTATTTAAAAATAGCTTTTATATGATTAATTATCATAAAAAGGTAAGGCAGGCGTAATTTTTTAAATTGTATACGCCAATAACGAGTAAAATTTTCATTAAATTCGACCCTACTCGAGATATGACGAAATCAACCTCCCATTTCCTGTAACCACCAAAATTTAATAGCACCAATGCCCTTTATGTATAAGTAACCACACCAAATTTTGTTTCTTAATCTTTACTCCATCGTGAGATATTAAACAAAATAAATACACAAACACAAAAAAACCTAAATCCATAGAATGATATTTCCGTATTTTTGGCATTTTTGAGGTTAGGGAATCTGTGTGACAGGATTACAATACTTTTCTATGTTATGTACTGTACAGTACATAATATCCGAGAAAGTAAAAATGTAAGTATAAACTGTGTTATATCTTATGACTTTTACTTATTTACTTTATCATTAATAAAAATGTCAACTCAATTAAAACGGTTTAATATAAACAAAAGATTATTAAAGACTAGTGAGTAAAAGTGTCATTTTTTTCCTCTTTACCTAATAAATAATCAACTTTATTAGAGTCGACATTATCGAAGTCTTCCTTTCTCCAAACATACTGATAAGAGAGATCTCTGGCTTTTTTATCTCTTTGCCAATCTTCTATGAGATTTCGTCCATCGTTTCTCCTTCCCATCTCGGTCGGTCTTTTGGGATCTCGTTCCCATTTCGGGACGAAGTGACGTCTTCCTCCTCCTAAAATCACCTGAAAAATCACTTTAACACTTTAACTTTATTACAAATTCTTAATTGTAAATATTCTAAATTAATTTTTAAAATGATTCAGAAAATCCCTAAATTCATTTTAAATAGCTGATGTGTAAATAGATAATTCTCATTGTTTGCTCTTAATTAAAGTAATGGCATCGAAGACAATAATAAATATTTTATTAATGCCATAGTTTATTCACTAAATTATTCAATTAAACGTTTTCTTGATTTATCATTTAACTAAGCGATAGAAAAACATTATTAAAAGTTAAAGTTGATTAAAAATACATTTATAAATGTAAAATATTGTACAAATGAATGGCTAATTAAGCAAATCACTTTTAATTTTATTTGTAAGTAGAGTTCAATACGTTCACTCAAAACAGATGCAACAAAACTTCAATTGTTTCGTCTTACCCGAGGCACTCCAGTTATAAATAGTTCGATCGATCTGATATTTAAATTTATCAAAAAATAGTTAACGTATACAATACGTTCATCAGCCTGTACGTCAAATGAATCAATATCATTTATCATTTCGCTGTTAATCGAGTCCACAAATAGATTATTGAATATTTTCTTTGATATCGAAAGCGTTATGATATTTATCTGTCTGTCTGAATTATTCGTAACTAAACACCTATACACACTGAAAATATTCCCAGTCAGTTATTGTTTTTCTTTGAAGCTTTTTTCCAGCCCAAATTGTTACATCGTCTCTGTTACTATTACTTTACTATCTTCAGCGAGTACTGTATTAGCAGCAGTGATGCGTTATGTATTCATAGAACCCCAGGCAAACTTGAATTAGGGAACCCCATATACAGTGTTGACTTTAAACATTTTTGTTCGGTAAGTTTTGGGGTATTCTCGTTCGTTTCTTCCTCTGCGCTGTACTAGTCCACCCTGCTCTTGTGCCACACCGACAATCCCAGATAAGGCCCAAGTTTAAATTTCGATATTCTCACTACATTAATAAGTTTATAAAAGATTGGTTTAGTAACCCTGTTGGCGGTGCCCAGGCAATTGTCCTTTTTTTACTCATAGGATAACGCGCCATTGACTAACAGCTGCTATTAGCTATGAACAGCTACTTTCAGCTAGTACTCTACAATAAACTATTACACTCGTATTTCTTAATCTTCAGTGTATGTAAAGAGAACCCAAACATAAAAAATTCAAACGTATTTTCGCAGTATTATAAACATATACTGCGTTATAAATATAAAAACACTCCAATAAAGCGTAGTTTTTGTTTTACTGAATTTGTTTAACTTTTATTTTAAAAGTATTGTTTATTTAAGCCGTAATACAGGTTTACATGACAAATCTGTTAAAGAAATATATATTTAGGTGATTGAATCATTTTCTTTTGTAATAGCTTCTCTATAATTAAGTTTCCTTTAATTTTTCACGTCTCAAAATCATTCTCGTATATTTTTATCAAGATATTACAAGAATAGCTTAGATTTAACACAGACAAAACAATAGGCAATTTATCCAGTATTTTTTTTTAAATACATAAATATTACAATCGAATATTCATCTGAAATGTAATATTTTCGAAGGAAAAAACAAATAAATATGAAATGCATGCTGTAAAAATAATCTTCAACAAATTCTACTCTTTTACAGAAGTAAGAACTAAAGCAGAAGTTTAAAAAGAAGAAGAAAATCTGGCAAGAATTATTTTTAAAAATAATCTGTACGGTTAAGCGTATAAAATTGGAATAAGTATAGAATAACAAAGCAGACTGTATTACAACTACTAGTCCCTTTTTTCCTCTGTATTTTACTGGCATACCTTCTTTTTTTAAAGAAAATACATCAATAATACATGAATCAATGTTAAATTCTAAAATTCAATGTTTTATTTAATATTTTGAAATTTAAAGATAAACTCCTAAATGGTTTTTCTGGTATTGAAACCTAACAGATTTGTCTTGCAAGCAACAAAACTGAGAGTAAATATTGATATTACCTAATAATTCATTGTAAAATTTCACCACCCTCAATGTATGTAGCATGTAATTAAATATATTCTTTTCGACTCATTTGTATATGGTTCTAAATATTTTTAGGTACTGAAGCGAATAAAAAAATTTTATAATCCTGTAGGATACTATAAAGTAAACAAGAGTTTCTGTAATGTAAAGCACGATACTTCTGTGACCTGTCTCTCTATAAGAGTACAGCTGGTGTGGAGTTGTAATATACTCACATTTATATTTCGTCCAGGTTCATCTTCAACTAGTTGCCTGGCGAGATCCTTACAAGCACTTTTAGCATCTTCAGGCATTTTATCGTCGCTCTCCCAATATCTGCTCGCTGCGTGCCCGTATGCAGCTGCAGGTGTTGCGTGTGTAATGCGTGTTGTCGTTACCACACCCGTAGCTTTACCTATAATAGTGAAATACATGTATTTATCATTTTAGCAGTTTAATATTACACTCGTAAACACCATTGTTTGAGTTTAACAGAATGTGAAAAGTAATCGGGATGAAAAGGATTATGAATTTTTGGTATGCACGTTTTCAAATCCAGATAAATTGCAGTGCAGAATTGATATATAGACACCTAACTATTAGTAAATTCCACACAAACTAATGGTATTTTCGAAAATATTGCTTATTGAACGAGTGTCGATTAAGATTTTTTTTTTCTTTTCTTGGTTTTTATACGTTCGATATTAAAGAACTAGAACGAAATAATACAATAGAAATGAATTTAATTAAATATTTTTAACGATATTTTCTCAATTTTAGTAGAAAATATATTTAATTCTTCTACTTCATGAATAAATTCTTTTTCTACGTATCTATATCTAAATTATTTGTTTATTTGGAACTTTTGGCTCAAATTTGAATAAAATTCCATTCGAATTAACTATATTTAATGCGTGAAATTTAAGAACAATGAAATTGTAATGTGTAGAATTTTCTTTCACTTAAATATGAATATATTTCTCATATTGCAGATAAATAAACTTATCATGTATTTAGTTGATGGAATTGAAAACATTTCTGTTTGCTTCAGGATAATGTAATAACTAATTATCTAGAACCTAATTTACAATTCATGGATATTTAAGTTTTATTTTCCAGGTTATTACTGTCTAATTCTAGCTCTTAATCATAAAAAATCGCATTATTTAGTACATAAATGAAATGTTTTCATCTGTATAGTATTTTAACATTTTTCTAATTGAATAAAATACAAATTCTTTGAACATTTTCAATGTCGTTTTTTACATGATAATTAAAGTTATAACATTTAGTTTTTTGTAAAACTCTAATTATTTCTTAAAACGACACTAAACGAATGCTTATACGCATCGTTACCTTTTAATCAATTTCTAAAACTTTCTATCTTTATTAGATATCTGCACTTAATCGACCTTTCTTTCTCTACTAAACTGTCAGCATAAACTGTCACCGAAGATAATGGGAAATAACGTGTAAGAAATAAGGAGAACGATGATGTCAAATAGTATGAAGATGAAAGAAATGCAAAATTGTAAAGTGTATGTAGTTGATGAAGAAAATTTTTTAAATGGATGTATTTCGTGCACAGTTTTTACTATGTTTCAAAACTTCGTTTCGTCAAGAAAGTCTTTCTAAGTTAAGAGCGAAAACTTTTTATTTCCTAATGCTCCTTTACTTATCGATCAATTCCAAAACATATTCTTTTATTACTCTGTGACGTTGATTGTTAACTCTCCCAGTCGTGAGTGAATCGGTTAGATTTATACTCTCCTGACGTCTAAAATTTTACCAATATAAAATGATTCAAGTCCCTTATACGTTGGCAAAACTTCGCTTTATGTAATCACAATTCAGAGAATATATATGTGAGTAACATTTAATAAATACATGTTTAAGAAACAAAATTTGGCATGATAACTTGTATATATGGTGCATTGATGCTATTATATTTTGATAGTTAAAGGTTAAGGGAGTAGGGAAATAAAGGGGATCGTGTCATTCTTAAATGATATCAGACTTAATGAAAATTTTACGTTTAGAAAACTCGTCTCTGCCGTCAAAATCAAGTTTTTTGCATTTTATAATAATTAATAATATAAAAGTTATTTTCTAATAATAGTAAGTAACAGATAGCTCCACACATAATTTTTCTTTGAGCTAACGTGTTTTAATGTTTCTTAAACATAAAAAGTCCAATCTCTTAAAAACCACACTTACGTTTAAAAAGTTTATCAAAATGTTTACGAATACATTTCTACTGACAGAATATTAAACTTTATTAACTCTATTAAATGTAATGTTTAACATATGTTCTGTCAGCACGCATTCTTCAAATTAATCTACCGTGCATTTGACAAATCTGCTTAAAGTTTCATTTTGTTCTAAATAAATCAAAGTATATTTAAATAATTTATCTGATAGTTATTTACCTTCTTGTTGAGCCCAGTCTGTTAGAGAAGGGACACGAGAAGTGAAGCTACTAAAGCATTTATCGTAAATGGCATTGTCATCTAAACCAATTGTTTCAAAACGACTTTTCACCCCGCAGAGTAACGCTGTGGCGCAAGCTCCAGAATCTCCTACCTGGCTATCTGTGTTGTAGGTCTGTAAATTAATAGTTAGTATATATATAATACATGTTTTTGATGTAAACTTTGCGTTAAGGCTAATATACAGTCGAACCTCGATATAACTCCAATGAATATCCGTAATTATTAAATAGAGAATTTTTTAGAATCAATATGTTACTACATGTATGATTTTGTACTTCAAACGATACCAGATCAGGTGACTTTTAAACTTATTCCTCTTGTTTTAGTTAGGCTACTATAGTTCAGTGCTACATTATATTTAGTGTTAATTTTAAGGTACACCATCAGAGTCATATTTAGACTTGTGGCCTGCACTACAATATAGAACAGACCAATCTTCCTTCACCAAATAATAATAGGCAATACAAATAGACTTTGACGCCTCCCTTAACATGAGGCGCTAGATGTAACTTGTTTAGCTTACTAGGCCTAAATCCAGCTCTGCACAAGATCGATAACGTTAAATCGAAGTTTGACTGTAGTTATTGTTTTGTTTTGTAAGTTTTTATCTAACATATGTGTATCTTACCTTTGACAATGCTACATGTTCGAACTTGTCGAAAGCTAATTCTGTGTCTTCGCCATTCTGTCCAAGTAGCTGACCTCTTAGTATCCTAGCAGTAGTTATGGTAGTTATTCCCATTCCATCTCCAATAAACAAGATAAGATTTTTGGCAATGTTGTAATTCCTCTCCTCTCTAACATTCTTCATTAAATTACTCTTGGCTTGTTCGTACCAGTACGATTTATCTGTTAAAAGTTAACGGAAAAGAAATTTTTAATTTTTTCTAAAACAATCCAACACCAAAGAAATAAAATTTAAAGATAAACTGTTTAAAATACAGCATTAAATCTTTTCTATTTTCGACATTGAGTGACACATCTTAAGTAGAAGGAGTGCATTGTTAGTCATTGCTAGCTAACATCGTGTTACACGGCTAGTGTTTTAAAAATAAATATCCTAGAAAGATTATAAATAAGAGAAGCATCTTGATTTTGTTTTTAAATGAAAAATACAAAACGGATCTGTGTTGTAAATTAACGAACCGTTGATGTATAATTTATAATCTAAACAATAGCAATCTCACTACTTAAATTTTAATTCCTTGAAAAACGTTTAAAAAAAGCGATCATTTGTAATCAATAAACTAACATAAAATCTACTACAAAAACATGATTTTCAAAAATACGTGATTATAAAATTTTTATAAGCATGTATTTATATAGTTTTATAGTTTTTTAAAGTAATTAAAAAAAGGAAATTAAATAATAGAATATTTTACATTAAGTGTCTAAGCTACAGCCTCATAGAGTAAGACCCTAAACTGTAATCTTATTTTATGAGCTCTACGCTATAAAATCATAGTGTACAGTTCTAAGTTATAGTTTTTTTTTTAGCTTAGAACTCACACTCTGATTTTATACCATTGAGTCTCATGAAATGAGATTACAGTTTAGGGTCTAACACTATAAGCTTCAGCTTAAGGTCACATCTGTAAGAGTCTAGCTTAAAACCTCATAGCATAAGAGCATACATTATGAGGCTATAGCTTAGGGCCTTACTTTATGAGACTTCAGTTTAAACCCTCACACTACGTTTACAGCCTACATCACACGTTATATGACTATTTCATGCTATTTCGATTCTATAGCTTAAAACATGATGTAGTTCAGGGCTCGGGGCACGACTTATTGAGGCTTCACCCTAGGATTCTAAGCTTAGAACCACTTTTATGAGATTGCAACTTAGGACCTCTCACTATGAGCTTAAACGTCGTTAAATTACTCGTATAAAGGTAATAATATAAAACGAGACGTTATATAGGAATAAAAGCACAAATAATTAAGGTACAATAAGTCTAAATCCAGCCATAAAATAACTATCTTAAATCAATATTTAAGTAAGAACAGCTCGAAGCAAAATTTTGAAATATGAAATATAATTTTCAATCGATTGTAATAAATATCTGTTTCATTAAAGCAGAATTAAAAAAGTTATATACAAAGTTAGCACAAGAGCTTTAGAACGTATTCATCTCGAATCTGAAAGTAATAATTCTCTTTCCAGGATTAGGCTATTTATAAAATAATTACTCATGTATGAAATATGATTCTTTTATAAAAATATTTTCATCTTTATTCAATAAAATACGACATAAAAACGAAATAAGGAAAGTTTCTTTCATCAAAAATCACTAATTTTACATAAAAAAAGAAAGAAAAAGAAAAAAATTACCTAACAGAACGGTTTAATTTTCTGTCTTCGACGAGGGAAGAAAACGTAAAGTTTTAATTAGAAAAGACAAAACACCCGAGATTTTCTTTTTTAAAACAAGTATTATAAGCTAATTAAGAAATTAATTGCTTTCAAATCACATATTTAATCTTCATTTCGTCTTTAGCGGATTAATGCTAAGTAATTTGTAGTTCGTCTTTAAAAAAAAAAAATTGGTTTTAATATTGATTCCAAACACCTTTCTTTATTAGTCTATTTTACACGTTACAAAACAAGAGGATTTTTAGGTATGAAAAAACAAAGTATAACAAAACACAGTGTTGTGTAGGAGCAAAAGCACAAAATAATATAAAACGGTGTTATGAGAGCGAAATAAACAAAACACAAAATATTTTGTAGCAGTAAAGAATATTTAATATTATAAAGCAGATTATTTTGTGAAAATGAAATAAATATATATATTAAGGGGAGTTTTCTGACAGTGTAAAAATTAAAATATAACAAAGCATAGCGTAAAGTGTAAGAGTGCAAAAACAGACATATTTCACAGACGTAAATACCTTTACAGGATTAAGTTACTTTTTCTATTATGTTTATAAAATATAATACGACAGATATAAAAATATAAATTTATATATAATAAAAACACAAACAAAATATAAATGGAATCACAATACTTCCTATTCTGTATTGATTTTAATCTCAGAAAAAGAAAGAAAAAAGAAACCTATTTTCGTGGCATTTCATACGAAATACATTCATATCCGTATCAAAATATAAATTTATTTCTTATAAAATAAAATTGTTACATCCATTAAAGTAACATCCCAAATGATTTCTCTTCATAATAACTTAGAAAAGTTTTTAAAAGATCAATATGTAAATTCGTTCATTCATCCCTTTGTGAGATACACGTCAACCGAATTTATGCAAAGGTTGAATAAAAATTATTCTTAGGAAAGTATGGTATTAGTAATTAGTAGGATTTGTTGGTGAATGAATAAGAGGACACACGAAATATTTACAATACTATCCATTTTAATCAACGAAGCTTTAAATGAAAAAAATGTAACTATAAACCGGATAAAGAGGATGAAGACGAGAAGCGACTAGTGCTATTTCTGTATCACTATGCACGTATTTTGAAAGATCTAACTGTACACCCATTAGCAACTGTGCATGCCTTTTTCCTATTGAGTTACACCGCTTAGTGAAAAAAATCATTGACATCCTGTTGTAATAATGCAACTTAGCACAATATAATTCTTGTAAATGGCTAATTTTCGGAAGTCTTTTTACATGCTTTTACTTGAAGGAAACATAACAGGAGACCGTCCCATACAGTTTAAGCGATGCGAATCAACGAGGATAGCTAGGATTTTCGTTATTGCACTTCAAAGAATGTCTGGATTAGAAAGAAAAAAGGACGTTTATAGAGTTTTATCTAAGATTAAAGGGTCGATGAAATAGCTTTGGTGACATCAATAAGCTGAATCGAATTATCCGCGTATTGATTGAACGAACAGCGAACCGATTCAATCATTGCAACCAACTTAATTAGCGTTAGCAGTTTGTTAAATTTATACGTGTTAACAGTGTTTTACTTAAAATCGTCTCAAGTAAGGACACTATTTATTTATCTGTAGTTAAAACATCATCTCGCATCTATCCAACCGTTTATTTACAATTTGAACTGTCTCTTTAATGGATACCAGATCATCGATTACACGTCCGAAGCTCGAATGTTTACATCGAGATTCGTGGATGTTCGATAATTATTTACGTCACTAATTTCAATCCCGAAAATCTTCATTCAACATCCACTCGTCTGGACAGTCTCAGGGGGGAATGAGAATCGAAGATTTACTATATGTTTTTTGATGCTTTTTTTCCTTCTCCTTCCTTTTCCTTTTAGATAAATTGGGTATATTGGGATCAATAGTCGTTAATCTAATTGAAATATTACAGAATTAATGTAAGTTTGGAAGGAAAATAATTGGTTAATTTTACTTTTGGAATCGATTTGGAATTGTTTGTCATTTGTCAAAATTTTTCCAATTATATCTTTCATTATTTTAATGCTCGTGAACATATTAGTTTTCTTTTTATTTTAAGTCTTATTAAACGGAAAGAATCTTGCAATTTCGTTTCTCGGAATTTCAATTTTATTTGTTCTTTTTTACTCCCTAAAAAATGAAATTCTAGTAAAACTATCCTGCTCCAATTTTTAACGCAAAGCTGGTTAATAAACTAGAAAAATTAGCCAAGAGTTAATGCCATTCGAGCTGCAAAGTTTCATAATAGAAAAAAAGAAAAACGATACTTTAATCAATAAAAAAGTGAACTGTTTTAAACTTTCTAGCAAGTTACAAACTACATTGAGTTAGCTGAATATATTCTTTTTTACATCGGTCGTAAACATGCCTGGCACGAATAAATGCAGCATCTGTTGAACTCCTACAGCATAACTGAATGAGTTAACATGTTTCTTTACGATATGAACTGCAACTTAACAATTGTAATTGATTCCCGCTTCTTATAACTTTTAAACGTGTAATTCAATGCTTATTCAAGTATCTCACCCGATTCTATAACATAATTATCAATATAAACCTATCTCACTCAGCAATGCAGTTGTTACTTGCTACGTATTGGACTAACAACCAGACTGTCGATTAAGATACGTTTATGATTATAATTATATATAGTAAAGTTATATTGGATTCCGCATAACTTTGTAATATCAACTTAACTTAAGTTCCATAAACATTACGTAGTTATAATGAATTAAATACGTTTAAAACTTTATGTAATTACAAATAATATATATATAATTTATATATATGAGCTTGNACTTTGCTAATTTTCTATACAAAATTTCCGAATATTATATACTATTATATTACCACAAGATAATTTTTCTACTTTGTAAAACAAAGAAAACATTATTACATTTTCATCTTTCTTTATTGACTTCTACACTAAAGTGATGTAAGCATTTTAAATTAATATTTTATTGTAAATAAACATATTATATGCCCTGAAATTACACACAATTTTAACTTTAAGCTGGTAGTGTTTTTCAAAATTATTTATGCAGTTAGAAACGTTTATCTTCAGTTTACTATATACAGAAACGTTCGAAGTTTATAAACATATCCTGGAAAGACAGAGTAAGAAAAATATTTACTAGGTATTCGGAAAGAAATCGTATTAATTATAGAGATTCAGAACATTTATCTGCTGCCATGAGAGTATTATTTAAATAACCTATTATTAAATTAATCTATAATTATAATAGTTTATTATTTGAATATCCTATATTGGTTAATTTTAATTTTCATAAATTTTCTAGAAACTTTAAATTTTTCTAATCACTTTCGTAAACTTTCTTTTGCCTTAACTTGTTCATTTTAGCACATTGATTTTCGTATTTAGAATTCTGTTCGTAAGTTAAGTTAAAGATGATTGCTTGATTTCGTTATTTTTTTTTCTTCTAGATGTTGAAAGTTAAATGTATTCTGTTTCTTAAGTGTTTAAAATTTTCACGTACTCTACTTTTAAACGTCTAAAAAATACACGTATTCTATTTATTAAAAATTTAAATAGTGCTTATTTTATATATTCTATGTTTTTGAATCCATTTGTAAGTCCGAAAAAAGGGAAGTAAGTGAAAAAAAATTAAAAGATTTTATATGCATATGTTTATATACATATAATCTAAGATTTTGTATGCAAAAATCAATTGTATAAAAAATTCCTGCTCTTCTAAGTTAAAATATAAAAAACTTGACAACATATATAAGTAATTAAAAGTAACGATTCAACAGTTTAAAATGATGTCGAGTGCTCTTGCTCGATTTTACAAACGCTCTAACAAAAATTCTAAGGGACCAATAATTTCTAGTTACACTAAAATATATACTTTAAGTAATAATAAAAGCTTAAAGGGGGTATTTTTATTGAATTTTGATAAAAATCTGCATTTAAAAAACACTGACACTAGCTGAAAATTGTGTGTGAAGGCATCTGTTACAACATGTTATTTAAAAATAGCTTTTATATGATTAATTATCATAAAAAGGTAAGGCAGGCGTAATTTTTTAAATTGTATACGCCAATAACGAGTAAAATTTTCATTAAATTCGACCCTACTCGAGATATGACGAAATCAACCTCCCATTTCCTGTAACCACCAAAATTTAATAGCACCAATGCCCTTTATGTATAAGTAACCACACCAAATTTTGTTTCTTAATCTTTACTCCATCGTGAGATATTAAACAAAATAAATACACAAACACAAAAAAACCTAAATCCATAGAATGATATTTCCGTATTTTTGGCATTTTTGAGGTTAGGGAATCTGTGTGACAGGATTACAATACTTTTCTATGTTATGTACTGTACAGTACATAATATCCGAGAAAGTAAAAATGTAAGTATAAACTGTGTTATATCTTATGACTTTTACTTATTTACTTTATCATTAATAAAAATGTCAACTCAATTAAAACGGTTTAATATAAACAAAAGATTATTAAAGACTAGTGAGTAAAAGTGTCATTTTTTTCCTCTTTACCTAATAAATAATCAACTTTATTAGAGTCGACATTATCGAAGTCTTCCTTTCTCCAAACATACTGATAAGAGAGATCTCTGGCTTTTTTATCTCTTTGCCAATCTTCTATGAGATTTCGTCCATCGTTTCTCCTTCCCATCTCGGTCGGTCTTTTGGGATCTCGTTCCCATTTCGGGACGAAGTGACGTCTTCCTCCTCCTAAAATCACCTGAAAAATCACTTTAACACTTTAACTTTATTACAAATTCTTAATTGTAAATATTCTAAATTAATTTTTAAAATGATTCAGAAAATCCCTAAATTCATTTTAAATAGCTGATGTGTAAATAGATAATTCTCATTGTTTGCTCTTAATTAAAGTAATGGCATCGAAGACAATAATAAATATTTTATTAATGCCATAGTTTATTCACTAAATTATTCAATTAAACGTTTTCTTGATTTATCATTTAACTAAGCGATAGAAAAACATTATTAAAAGTTAAAGTTGATTAAAAATACATTTATAAATGTAAAATATTGTACAAATGAATGGCTAATTAAGCAAATCACTTTTAATTTTATTTGTAAGTAGAGTTCAATACGTTCACTCAAAACAGATGCAACAAAACTTCAATTGTTTCGTCTTACCCGAGGCACTCCAGTTATAAATAGTTCGATCGATCTGATATTTAAATTTATCAAAAAATAGTTAACGTATACAATACGTTCATCAGCCTGTACGTCAAATGAATCAATATCATTTATCATTTCGCTGTTAATCGAGTCCACAAATAGATTATTGAATATTTTCTTTGATATCGAAAGCGTTATGGTATTTATCTATCTGTCTGAATTATTCGTAACTAAATACCTATACACACTGAAAATATTCCCAGTCAGTTATTGTTTTTCTTCGAAGCTTTTTTCCAGCCCAAATTGTTACATCGTCTCTGTTACTATTACTTTACTATCTTCAGCGAGTACTGTATTAGCAGCAGTGATGCGTTATGTATTCATAGAACCCCAGGCAAACTTGAATTAGGGAACCCCATATACAGTGTTGACTTTAAACATTTTTGTTCGGTAAGTTTTGGGGTATTCTCGTTCGTTTCTTCCTCTGCGCTGTACTAGTCCACCCTGCTCTTGTGTCACACCGACAATCCCAGATAAGGCCCAAGTTTAAATTTCGATATTCTCACTACATTAATAAGTTTATAAAAGATTGGTTTAGTAACCCTGTTGGCGGTGCCCAGGCAATTGTCCTTTTTTTACTCATAGGATAACGCGCCATTGACTAACAGCTGCTATTAGCTATGAACAGCTACTTTCAGCTAGTACTCTACAATAAACTATTACACTACTTTCGTATTTCTTAATCTTCAGTGTATGTAAAGAGAACCCAAACATAAAAAATTCAAACGTATTTTCGCAGTATTATAAACATATACTGCGTTATAAATATAAAAACACTCCAATAAAGCGTAGTTTTTGTTTTACTGAATTTGTTTAACTTTTATTTTAAAAGTATTGTTTATTTAAGCCGTAATACAGGTTTACATGACAAATCTGTTAAAGAAATATATATTTAGGTGATTGAATCATTTTGTTTTGTAATAGCTTCTCTATAATTAAGTTTCCTTTAATTTTTCACGTCTCAAAATCATTATCGTATATTTTTATAAAGATATTACAAGAATAGCTTAGATTTAACACAGACAAAACAATAGGCAATTTATCCAGTATTTTTTTTTAAATACATAAATATTACAATCGAATATTCATCTGAAATGTAATATTTTCGAAGGAAAAAACAAATAAATATGAAATGCATGCTGTAAAAATAATCTTCAACAAATTCTACTCTTTTACAGAAGTAAGAACTAAAGCAGAAGTTTAAAAAGAAGAAGAAAATCTGGCAAGAATTATTTTTAAAAATAATCTGTACGGTTAAGCGTATAAAATTGGAATAAGTATAGAATAACAAAGCAGACTGTATTACAACTACTAGTCCCTTTTTTCCTCTGTATTTTACTGGCATACCTTCTTTTTTTAAAGAAAATACATCAATAATACATGAATCAATGTTAAATTCTAAAATTCAATGTTTTATTTAATATTTTGAAATTTAAAGATAAACTCCTAAATGGTTTTTCTGGTATTGAAACCTAACAGATTTGTCTTGCAAGCAACAAAACTGAGAGTAAATATTGATATTACCTAATAATTCATTGTAAAATTTCACCACCCTCAATGTATGTAGCATGTAATTAAATATATTCTTTTCGACTCATTTGTATATGGTTCTAAATATTTTTAGGTACTGAAGCGAATAAAAAAATTTTATAATCCTGTAGGATACTATAAAGTAAACAAGAGTTTCTGTAATGTAAAGCACGATACTTCTGTGACCTGTCTCTCTATAAGAGTACAGCTGGTGTGGAGTTGTAATATACTCACATTTATATTTCGTCCAGGTTCATCTTCAACTAGTTGCCTGGCGAGATCCTTACAAGCACTTTTAGCATCTTCAGGCATTTTATCGTCGCTCTCCCAATATCTGCTCGCTGCGTGCCCGTATGCAGCTGCAGGTGTTGCGTGTGTAATGCGTGTTGTCGTTACCACACCCGTAGCTTTACCTATAATAGTGAAATACATGTATTTATCATTTTAGCAGTTTAATATTACACTCGTAAACACCATTGTTTGAGTTTAACAGAATGTGAAAAGTAATCGGGATGAAAAGGATTATGAATTTTTGGTATGCACGTTTTCAAATCCAGATAAATTGCAGTGCAGAATTGATATATAGACACCTAACTATTAGTAAATTCCACACAAACTAATGGTATTTTCGAAAATATTGCTTATTGAACGAGTGTCGATTAAGATTTTTTTTTTCTTTTCTTGGTTTTTATACGTTCGATATTAAAGAACTAGAACGAAATAATACAATAGAAATGAATTTAATTAAATATTTTTAACGATATTTTCTCAATTTTAGTAGAAAATATATTTAATTCTTCTACTTCATGAATAAATTCTTTTTCTACGTATCTATATCTAAATTATTTGTTTATTTGGAACTTTTGGCTCAAATTTGAATAAAATTCCATTCGAATTAACTATATTTAATGCGTGAAATTTAAGAACAATGAAATTGTAATGTGTAGAATTTTCTTTCACTTAAATATGAATATATTTCTCATATTGCAGATAAATAAACTTATCATGTATTTAGTTGATGGAATTGAAAACATTTCTGTTTGCTTCAGGATAATGTAATAACTAATTATCTAGAACCTAATTTACAATTCATGGATATTTAAGTTTTATTTTCCAGGTTATTACTGTCTAATTCTAGCTCTTAATCATAAAAAATCGCATTATTTAGTACATAAATGAAATGTTTTCATCTGTATAGTATTTTAACATTTTTCTAATTGAATAAAATACAAATTCTTTGAACATTTTCAATGTCGTTTTTTACATGATAATTAAAGTTATAACATTTAGTTTTTTGTAAAACTCTAATTATTTCTTAAAACGACACTAAACGAATGCTTATACGCATCGTTACCTTTTAATCAATTTCTAAAACTTTCTATCTTTATTAGATATCTGCACTTAATCGACCTTTCTTTCTCTACTAAACTGTCAGCATAAACTGTCACCGAAGATAATGGGAAATAACGTGTAAGAAATAAGGAGAACGATGATGTCAAATAGTATGAAGATGAAAGAAATGCAAAATTGTAAAGTGTATGTAGTTGATGAAGAAAATTTTTTAAATGGATGTATTTCGTGCACAGTTTTTACTATGTTTCAAAACTTCGTTTCGTCAAGAAAGTCTTTCTAAGTTAAGAGCGAAAACTTTTTATTTCCTAATGCTCCTTTACTTATCGATCAATTCCAAACATATTTTTTTATTACTCTGTGACGTTGATTGTTAACTCTCCCAGTCGTGAGTGAATCGGTTAGATTTATACTCTCCTGACGTCTAAAATTTTACCAATATAAAATGATTCAAGTCCCTTATACGTTGGCAAAACTTCGCTTTATGTAATCACAATTCAGAGAATATATATGTGAGTAACATTTAATAAATACATGTTTAAGAAACAAAATTTGGCATGATAACTTGTATATATGGTGCATTGATGCTATTATATTTTGATAGTTAAAGGTTAAGGGAGTAGGGAAATAAAGGGGATCGTGTCATTCTTAAATGATATCAGACTTAATGAAAATTTTACGTTTAGAAAACTCGTCTCTGCCGTCAAAATCAAGTTTTTTGCATTTTATAATAATTAATAATATAAAAGTTATTTTCTAATAATAGTAAGTAACAGATAGCTCCACACATAATTTTTCTTTGAGCTAACGTGTTTTAATGTTTCTTAAACATAAAAAGTCCAATCTCTTAAAAACCACACTTACGTTTAAAAAGTTTATCAAAATGTTTACGAATACATTTCTACTGACAGAATATTAAACTTTATTAACTCTATTAAATGTAATGTTTAACATATGTTCTGTCAGCACGCATTCTTCAAATTAATCTACCGTGCATTTGACAAATCTGCTTAAACTTTCATTTTGTTCTAAATAAATCAAAGTATATTTAAATAATTTATCTGATAGTTATTTACCTTCTTGTTGAGCCCAGTCTGTTAGAGAAGGGACACGAGAAGTGAAGCTACTAAAGCATTTATCGTAAATGGCATTGTCATCTAAACCAATTGTTTCAAAACGACTTTTCACCCCGCAGAGTAACGCTGTGGCGCAAGCTCCAGAATCTCCTACCTGGCTATCTGTGTTGTAGGTCTGTAAATTAATAGTTAGTATATATATAATACATGTTTTTGATGTAAACTTTGCGTTAAGGCTAATATACAGTCGAACCTCGATATAACTCCAATGAATATCCGTAATTATTAAATAGAGAATTTTTTAGAATCAATATGTTACTACATGTATGATTTTGTACTTCAAACGATACCAGATCAGGTGACTTTTAAACTTATTCCTCTTGTTTTAGTTAGGCTACTATAGTTCAGTGCTACATTATATTTAGTGTTAATTTTAAGGTACACCATGAGAGTCATATTTAGACTTGTGGCCTGCACTACAATATAGAACAGACCAATCTTCCTTCACCAAATAATAATAGGCAATACAAATAGACTTTGACGCCTCCCTTAACATGAGGCGCTAGATGTAACTTGTTTAGCTTACTAGGCCTAAATCCAGCTCTGCACATGATCGATAACGTTAAATCGAAGTTTGACTGTAGTTATTGTTTTGTTTTGTAAGTTTTTATCTAACATATGTGTATCTTACCTTTGACAATGCTACATGTTCGAACTTGTCGAAAGCTAATTCTGTGTCTTCGCCATTCTGTCCAAGTAGCTGACCTCTTAGTATCCTAGCAGTAGTTATGGTAGTTATTCCCATTCCATCTCCAATAAACAAGATAAGATTTTTGGCAATGTTGTAATTCCTCTCCTCTCTAACATTCTTCATTAAATTACTCTTGGCTTGTTCGTACCAGTACGATTTATCTGTTAAAAGTTAACGGAAAAGAAATTTTTAATTTTTTCTAAAACAATCCAACACCAAAGAAATAAAATTTAAAGATAAACTGTTTAAAATACAGCATTAAATCTTTTCTATTTTCGACATTGAGTGACACATCTTAAGTAGAAGGAGTGCATTGTTAGTCATTGCTAGCTAACATCGTGTTACACGGCTAGTGTTTTAAAAATAAATATCCTAGAAAGATTATAAATAAGAGAAGCATCTTGATTTTGTTTTTAAATGAAAAATACAAAACGGATCTGTGTTGTAAATTAACGAACCGTTGATGTATAATTTATAATCTAAACAATAGCAATCTCACTACTTAAATTTTAATTCCTTGAAAAACGTTTAAAAAAAGCGATCATTTGTAATCAATAAACTAACATAAAATCTACTACAAAAACATGATTTTCAAAAATACGTGATTATAAAATTTTTATAAGCATGTATTTATATAGTTTTATAGTTTTTTAAAGTAATTAAAAAAAGGAAATTAAATAATAGAATATTTTACATTAAGTGTCTAAGCTACAGCCTCATAGAGTAAAACCCTAAACTGTAATCTTATTTTATGAGCTCTACGCTATAAAATCATAGTGTACAGTTCTAAGTTATAGTTTTTTTTAGCTTAGAACTCACACTCTGATTTTATACCATTGAGTCTCATGAAATGAGATTACAGTTTAGGGTTTAACACTATAAGCTTCAGCTTAAGGTCACATCTGTAAGAGTCTAGCTTAAAACCTCATAGCATAAGAGCATACATTATGAGGCTATAGCTTAGGGCCTTACTTTATGAGACTTCAGTTTAAACCCTCACACTACGTTTACAGCCTACATCACACGTTATATGACTATTTCATGCTATTTCGATTCTATAGCTTAAAACATGATGTAGTTCAGGGCTCGGGGCACGACTTATTGAGGCTTCACCCTAGGATTCTAAGCTTAGAACCACTTTTATGAGATTGCAACTTAGGACCTCTCACTATGAGCTTAAACGTCGTTAAATTACTCGTATAAAGGTAATAATATAAAACGAGACGTTATATAGGAATAAAAGCACAAATAATTAAGGTACAATAAGTCTAAATCCAGCCATAAAATAACTATCTTAAATCAATATTTAAGTAAGAACAGCTCGAAGCAAAATTTTGAAATATGAAATATAATTTTCAATCGATTGTAATAAATATCTGTTTCATTAAAGCAGAATTAAAAAAGTTATATACAAAGTTAGCACAAGAGCTTTAGAACGTATTCATCTCGAATCTGAAAGTAATAATTCTCTTTCCAGGATTAGGCTATTTATAAAATAATTACTCATGTATGAAATATGATTCTTTTATAAAAATATTTTCATCTTTATTCAATAAAATACGACATAAAAACGAAATAAGGAAAGTTTCTTTCATCAAAAATCACTAATTTTACATAAAAAAAGAAAGAAAAAGAAAAAAATTACCTAACAGAACGGTTTAATTTTCTGTCTTCGACGAGGGAAGAAAACGTAAAGTTTTAATTAGAAAAGACAAAACACCCGAGATTTTCTTTTTTAAAACAAGTATTATAAGCTAATTAAGAAATTAATTGCTTTCAAATCACATATTTAATCTTCATTTCGTCTTTAGCGGATTAATGCTAAGTAATTTGTAGTTCGTCTTTAAAAAAAAAAAAATTGGTTTTAATATTGATTCCAAACACCTTTCTTTATTAGTCTATTTTACACGTTACAAAACAAGAGGATTTTTAGGTATGAAAAAACAAAGTATAACAAAACACAGTGTTGTGTAGGAGCAAAAGCACAAAATAATATAAAACGGTGTTATGAGAGCGAAATAAACAAAACACAAAATATTTTGTAGCAGTAAAGAATATTTAATATTATAAAGCAGATTATTTTGTGAAAATGAAATAAATATATATATTAAGGGGAGTTTTCTGACAGTGTAAAAATTAAAATATAACAAAGCATAGCGTAAAGTGTAAGAGTGCAAAAACAGACATATTTCACAGACGTAAATACCTTTACAGGATTAAGTTACTTTTTCTATTATGTTTATAAAATATAATACGACAGATATAAAAATATAAATTTATATATAATAAAAACACAAACAAAATATAAATGGAATCACAATACTTCCTATTCTGTATTGATTTTAATCTCAGAAAAAGAAAGAAAAAAGAAACCTATTTTCGTGGCATTTCATACGAAATACATTCATATCCGTATCAAAATATAAATTTATTTCTTATAAAATAAAATTGTTACATCCATTAAAGTAACATCCCAAATGATTTCTCTTCATAATAACTTAGAAAAGTTTTTAAAAGATCAATATGTAAATTCGTTCATTCATCCCTTTGTGAGATACACGTCAACCGAATTTATGCAAAGGTTGAATAAAAATTATTCTTAGGAAAGTATGGTATTAGTAATTAGTAGGATTTGTTGGTGAATGAATATGAGGACACACGAAATATTTACAATACTATCCATTTTAATCAACGAAGCTTTAAATGAAAAAAATGTAACTATAAACCGGATAAAGAGGATGAAGACGAGAAGCGACTAGTGCTATTTCTGTATCACTATGCACGTATTTTGAAAGATCTAACTGTACACCCATTAGCAACTGTGCATGCCTTTTTCCTATTGAGTTACACCGCTTAGTGAAAAAAATCATTGACATCCTGTTGTAATAATGCAACTTAGCACAATATAATTCTTGTAAATGGCTAATTTTCGGAAGTCTTTTTACATGCTTTTACTTGAAGGAAACATAACAGGAGACCGTCCCATACAGTTTAAGCGATGCGAATCAACGAGGATAGCTAGGATTTTCGTTATTGCACTTCAAAGAATGTCTGGATTAGAAAGAAAAAAGGACGTTTATAGAGTTTTATCTAAGATTAAAGGGTCGATGAAATAGCTTTGGTGACATCAATAAGCTGAATCGAATTATCCGCGTATTGATTGAACGAACAGCGAACCGATTCAATCATTGCAACCAACTTAATTAGCGTTAGCAGTTTGTTAAATTTATACGTGTTAACAGTGTTTTACTTAAAATCGTCTCAAGTAAGGACACTATTTATTTATCTGTAGTTAAAACATCATCTCGCATCTATCCAACCGTTTATTTACAATTTAAACTGTCTCTTTAATGGATACCAGATCATCGATTACACGTCCGAAGCTCGAATGTTTACATCGAGATTCGTGGATGTTCGATAATTATTTACGTCACTAATTTCAATCCCGAAAATCTTCATTCAACATCCACTCGTCTGGACAGTCTCAGGGGGGAATGAGAATCGAAGATTTACTATATGTTTTTTGATGCTTTTTTTCCTTCTCCTTCCTTTTCCTTTTAGATAAATTGGGTATATTGGGATCAATAGTCGTTAATCTAATTGAAATATTACAGAATTAATGTAAGTTTGGAAGGAAAATAATTGGTTAATTTTACTTTTGGAATCGATTTGGAATTGTTTGTCATTTGTCAAAATTTTTCCAATTATATCTTTCATTATTTTAATGCTCGTGAACATATTAGTTTTCTTTTTATTTTAAGTCTTATTAAACGGAAAGAATCTTGCAATTTCGTTTCTCGGAATTTCAATTTTATTTGTTCTTTTTTACTCCCTAAAAAATGAAATTCTAGTAAAAATATCGTGCTCCAATTTTTAACGCAAAGCTGGTTAATAAACTAGAAAAATTAGCCAAGAGTTAATGCCATTCGAGCTGCAAAGTTTCATAATAGAAAAAAAGAAAAACGATACTTTAATCAATAAAAAAGTGAACTGTTTTAAACTTTCTAGCAAGTTACAAACTACATTGAGTTAGCTGAATATATTCTTTTTTACATCGGTCGTAAACATGCCTGGCACGAATAAATGCAGCATCTGTTGAACTCCTACAGCATAACTGAATGAGTTAACATGTTTCTTTACGATATGAACTGCAACTTAACAATTGTAATTGATTCCCGCTTCTTATAACTTTTAAACGTGTAATTCAATGCTTATTCAAGTATCTCACCCGATTCTATAACATAATTATCAATATAAACCTATCTCACTCAGCAATGCAGTTGTTACTTGCTACGTATTGGACTAACAACCAGACTGTCGATTAAGATACGTTTATGATTATAATTATATATAGTAAAGTTATATTGGATTCCGCATAACTTTGTAATATCAACTTAACTTAAGTTCCATAAACATTACGTAGTTATAATGAATTAAATACGTTTAAAACTTTATGTAATTACAAATAATATATATATAATTTATATATATGAGCTTGTATATATATTTCGCACTTGATAATTTATAACATAATTATCAATCATAATATAACATATTATTTAACCATTACCTATAATATAAATTATTTTATAACATAGGAATTAACTATTATGTAGCTACCATAATAATTAACACACGTGGAACATAACTGCGACTAAAAGTCTTTATAGAAGGTTATAACTTGTTATAATTTTTTACGTATACTTTCTATAATATTAATTAATACATCTATAAAGTATATGCTAATGTTAATTATTAATTATGTTATGTTATACGCACAATAAATTATAAGATTAGTGAAATAAATTTAAATTTTAGTGTTTTGATATAGTAATATCATACTTCCCTCGTTGTATAGACATTAAAAGGTTGTTTTTAATATAAAAATATGTAAAATTTAATAGATTTTAACCAATTTTTGTATTCGTGTAAGTATGCTTAAAGAATTATATATAGAACAATAATACTATGCACTGTACAGTTCAGTATTAGCTAGAATTAATAAGTTAAATCTGTAATTATTTACGTATGAAAAATTATTTTTAAACAATAAATAAGTCTGTTAATATGCTTGTAAACTTGTGTTATATTAGAATAAACTTTTGCATAAATTAGATATTTTCAAAATTATAGATGAATTTATGGCATTTTTAAATAGTTACTTGTAAATTAAAAAGGAAAATGTAAATTAAAACATACCTTGACACGACACATAATATGCCAACATCCAAAAAGAAGCGACATGCCACCACAACATCATGTAACATCACTGCTGAACGATTGACTCTCGCGCCATCTTGAGGAAAGCGAAACATGTGCTATGACGTCACACGTTTCTATGAATTCGCACCTAAAATACAATGACATTTTTTTCGGTTAAAAAGTTCATCCTTGAACACTTATCAGTAGAGGAATCGTAGAGTAAATCTAATTGCAGTTATGAAATTCTATACTCTTATAAACCATGAGCCGAAAATTACTTTAATTAATGCGATTATTACCGTATTTCCGTTATCCTAGTCGATTATAACTTGAAAACAAACTAAAACCTAAGTTCATATATATTAAAGGTAGAATTTGTAGCCTATAGGAAATAATCAAATTAAAAGAGATTATATACATAAATTCCTATTTATCGAGTAAATATTCGTTAAAACTTATAATTTAATAACTGTAATGAGATTTGGCATCGCAATTACATTTAAATGTAACACGTGATAAAATGTATTTTGATAATTAAAATATAATTAAAAGCCCACTTTCCACGTGTTTACTTGTCACTGACACGTTTTACGCTACGTAAATGATGTCACAATTGCGTCATTAGCAGAAAAGCCAATTAGGAAGCGCTAATTAAATTTAAAAAAAAGGAAATGAAGGAAGAAAATAAAAGAATTTTTATGAAATTTTCATTTATTCTTAATTTTATTTACCGATTTTTAAATCATTCATTTCTTTCTTTAAATATGCCAATTATTTTAATACAAAATTTTATCGATTTATAATAAGGAAGTAAAATTAATATAAATAAGAAAAAAACCCATTATAATGATATTTTACCGTATGTAAATTCTTCGATTTCCAATTATAAACACTATAAAGTCGTATAAATGACTGTAAACACATAAATTTACCATTAAAACAAATATTAAAAGTAATAATAATAATAAGACTTAACAAAATGGCGGTCAACACGACAAAAAGTTCGTCTGCTTAAAAACAGCGCCATCTAACGCTTGAATTAATTAACCGAAAAAATTATCATCTTTTCTAATTCATTAATTAAATTTTTTTGTTATTTTTTCAAGAATTAAACTTTAAATTGTATAGAAAAGAAATTATTATTAAATTCTATAATTTATGTATAAATTTATAACTACTTTATAAATATTTACAAATTTAAAGATTAAAAAAAAAAAATCTTTTAATACTATTAACGCGCCATCTGTCGGTTAGAACGATAAGAAAGTGTCGTCTGCTTGAGGTAAGTCGCTTGAACTTTATTTATATTATTATTACAGTATTATTATTATCAAATGTAATTTCGAAATCTGATTAGAGGCGATTGAATTATTCGATTTGTAAATTTGTTAATTATATTAAGCATTGCAAACGTTCTAGACCCGAAGTCATTTGTGTAACAGTAATAACATAAAGAGTCAACCCGACCGGAAATGCCATTATGACGAATATCCGTTTTCCTAACCCTGTTGAAATTCGAGAGGAAGCTATACTTAGTTCCGGATGCTATGCTACAGAAGCTAGGAACAAGAGAGAGAATTTGTCTCCTGGCATTCCACGACTTTCTCTTGTATCATTTCGAGAGTTTTCAAGCGACAGACCGTGACGTAACGATGTCACGTGTCTAGACGATTAGGCATCGAAACTTTGTTCAACGTTTACGTATTTGGACACAGATTTGTCGAATATCTTCCATTCTCTTATTCCTGAAGCTTTATTTAATCACTTAGATCAGATATTGTTGTATTTTTCGATTGGGAATAACTCGAAAACTCTTCTATTAGTAATGCTATAAGCTAAATTTCTTATTTTATGCGTATTTAAGTCACTAATTCTGTTACATTTCGCTTTATATAATACAAAATATTAATACTTTCCCTATATTCTTTTGGAAGTTATATACAGTATTCTAAGGTTAATTCACTTTACTCAGTTAACTGACTTCTGGGTCACTTCGTGTACTGTAAAATATTATACTCGTCATTTATCATGTGTTCTCAACCAGGATTGATTTTAGACTTATAACAGGCCTTTCCCTCCATACGTAAAACTGTGAGATCTTAAACTATAGCGATTTTTATACTTTCTATTGCTTATAAATGTAATTAAAGACCCTTAAATCGTTGAATTTTATTCGCATTATGCGTGTTTAAGTCACAAATTCTGTTATACTTTTATTATGACAGAATTCATTCATTAATTTACTCCACAGATAATATATACGTTGCTGTCTGTTGAGCGAATTATTAGTTTTCTATTGTCTAATTCCTTTATCTTATACAATATGTATTCTATAATATATAGTTGTTCTACGCAGCATTTTCACTTTTTATTGCTTATAAATAGCGCCTAAAAACAATAAAATGCCTTATTTTAAGTTACAAATTATAAATTATACAAATATAAATACAAACTATAGTTATATAGGTTGTACTACTACTTATTGAAAGAATTAAAGAGCGTTTTCTATTTCCTGATTCTATCTACTATTGACATTATATAATAGAAAGTACATTCTAAATGGTAAAGGATACAAAATTCAGTTAACCGAAAACATAAAAAGTTAATTAACTCAATTAAAATAACTTAAAAATAAGACCATTTAGTACATTAGAATATTTATCATATGTGTATACTTTACTATATCTTCTATTGTTTAATGTACAGTACGCTTGATTAACTTTCATATAAATGTATATCCGAGTGTATGCTGCATTTGTAAAAGGTACTGTACTTATCAAAATATTATCTATTTTATCTTTCTTTTTTTCACATTCACTTACTCATAAACGTGATTAATGTCCTCTTAAAAACGTTTAAGTTTCTTACATTGTGCATATTTAAGTTTCATTTTAATTCTTATAACGATTTCATCATATAAAGTGAAGTATAACAAGAGTTTGTATATAAATTAAGCTATTTTTCTACGCAAGAATTAAATTAAACAATAATAAACATTACTGTCTACGAATTAAATTAAATTAGAACATTTTCCATTGTCTGATTTATTCATTTATCTTTCATTGATTCTATATATATAACATTAACGGAAGATAATTAATTGTATAATATATATCAGATTATATTCTACACTACACTCTTTATTAAAAAATGATAATAATAAAATAAAAAAAAACAAGAATAACTTGTCTTTTCTTTGCCATTTCTTATTAATTTTCTTGCATTTCTTACGTTACTTTTCTTTGCTAATGTCATTTTTATGTTCTCTGTCATTACCTTCTTTTTTAATTCATTGCTCTTTCTCTTGTCAACTTTTTTTTTATTACCATTTTATTCATTTATTGTCATTTTTCACGCTTTCTTGATTTTTATTGTGTTTACTATTCCCGTTGTTATAATTTTGTCGACATCTTTTACGCTTTCTGTCGTCACTTTCTGCTATTTTTTCTGTTTTTATTAATTTATATTTCTTCCATCTTATTTTTTTTTTATGTTTCCGTTTCTATGTCTTTTTCTTTTGCTTCTTACCGCCACTTTTCTTTCTTTCTTTTTAAACTCTCACTGCTTTCTATCGCTATAATTTGTCTCTTTTCGTTACTATTTCTGATTTTTTCATCAGTTTTATTCTCCTTTTTTTTAATTTGATGTTTTTTTTGTATTGTTTTCTCAAGTTTTTAACGAGTTTTCTATATTTGACTTTTATTTAATAAACAATAATTTTACATTATTTAATAAATTAATGGTTATAAAAATAATTTATTTAATAATCATTGTTATTTTTATTATTTTAATTATGCTAACCTTTATATTATAAAATACTTCTTTCCAACTTTTCATTACTATTAACCTCGAACAAGTCTATTATAATCTCTTTCCTATTCTTTTCTATAATCCTTCCTCATTAGTTCTCCACATATTCTCTTATTTCTAACTTATTTACTCTTATTATCTAGTTGTTGAAACCCGAGTTTAACAACTAGACAGGAAGAGGAAATGTTAAACTTGGATTTAACTAGCATACAGATAAATCCAAATCTGTAATGAAACACAAATTGCTTTTCATTATTTCGAAGTTTACGTGAATATTTGAGATTGATGATAAAAAATTCGTTATTGGGCAGCTTCTAACATATTCATGAAAACATTCCGTTCAGGACCTCACAGTTATCGTGAAATGATTGATCGCTTATATTTTTAAGGCTTTCTTGTATATTAATTAGCCAAACTAGCGTTAAATAATAAAATCTGAGAAAAAATAAAATAAAATAAAGGTTTATGACAAAAAAAAACGCAATGAAATGAATAATGTGTAACAAATAATCTTGGAACTCTGATAAATGTGAAATTTTACTGTCTCACTGTGAGAGGGCCTGTTACTGGTAATAACTGCAGTAATTTCTTAAAATTTCATTACTTCTTTACTTTTATTTATCTTTTAATTATTCTGCTTTCTTTCTTAATTTCTTACACTACATCTATTCCTATTTTCTTGTTTTTATTCGCCAAATTTTCCATGCACTCACTAATTTTGTGTGATTTTCCTCCCTTTCTTCCACTGGTTAATTTTCCAATTTCTCTTTTTTATAAGTCACTGTTAATTTCTTCTTTACACATTATTTAATTTTCTTCTACTTTGTTGAATATTCTTTTATGTGAGATTAAATGTGACTCCATTAAATGATTTTTGTCTTTTTGACATCGCACTTATCATCTATATCAGCGTTTCTCAAAGTGGGCGATAACGCCCCCTTGTGGGCGCTGGAGGCTTTCAGGGGGACAGTAGAAGGCTCAAAGAGAATTGGGGGGCGTTAAGGAAATATAGAGGGGCGACGGCAGACAAATTCTATATATAAAAATTCGACGGAATATATATAAAATATGTTGACTTTTATATATTTTTTATTTTTTATTGAAGGTCCCAACTTGAATATTTCTAACACATTGACTTTTATTTTAGCTTAGCGTTTTTCAAAGTAAGCAATAACGCCCCCTTCTGGCGCGATGAATAGATCTATGATAGAGGCAGGGTATTGAACGGTGACCAAAGGCAAAATTGGGGCTGATAAGAGGAAACATTGCGTTTAATGGTTTCCAGATGATGAGAACAATGTACAGTAAGGGCACAAAGTGTGAGATTCATAGAAAAGTTTTCCTAAGAATATTTCCAATCCTTTTCTTACACAAGAGAAAATGGGTTAGGGGGCGTTGGGTATAACTTTATGGAACAAAGGGGGCGGTGGATCGAAAAAGTTTGAGAATCACTGATCTATATTGTCTAATTTTTTGTATTATTTAATTGTTACTTTCATACTATTCTCCACGATTATTGTTCCTGTATACGCTCTATTATTAATTTCCTGCTGTTTTTTCCATTGTCTCCAACACCCAACAATTTCCGTGTTTTCTATTAACATTTTCGAAATTTTCATAATTTGAACTGATAAAATATCATTTTACTGATATTTTCGGATAAAAATTAGAATGTAAACTGTTTACGAATGCAGGATCTAACACGTAAGGACCAGCACACTACTTGACACAGCCTCACATTTAAGTGACCACAACATTAGTTATAAATTACTTGTCAAACTGTATTATTTAAAAGTATAATTGTTTTAATCTTTAACTTTTTCGACCCCTTGGGTACCAAGAGGACCTTTTTACTTTACCTATCATGAGTTTGGCCAGCTCCTCAATGAGCGATAAGGAAGGATCATTCATAAAAGTTCTTATTATTGCTTGCCCGGATTCGATCCTCGATCCCCAGACCATCTGACTATTTTAGTATTCTAAGAACTTCAAAAAACAAGAGTCCCGAGCCTCTCTCGACTTCTGAAAAATCCCGGAATGTAAACTATTGTAAAAAGCACGCAGCTGTAAATATTCGGTAGCGAAATTAATGAAAACAACTTTCAAGTTGCCAATACACTCGTTATAACCAATTCAATCACCACTATAACAAATAAGACTTTAATCCTTCTGCGTCATTAATTTGACTCGTAAAGATAAACGATGGAAATTAAAGGTGTTTACTTGGAGATAATCGCAAATATAAGCTAGATTGGAGAGTTTGTTAACAAAATTTGAATGCAACAGTGGATCCATTTTATCTACTTAAGCCTATGGGAAAATTGCAGAAATTTAATTGTAAATATTATATATCATAGTGTTTATCCGTGTGATTATCAAGAAATTTACATAATTTTACCTAAATTAGCAAAAAAGTTTCAGCTTAAAGTTATCCTATATTAAAAATAATCGTTATACTTAGTTTATACGTAAACATTAATAACCAAGAATGATACTAGACATGCGAAAATTCAAATTAGAACTTATTACACGCCCTCTGTTTACTACTAGTTTAAATGGCCGTATGGTCGAGGGATTAATTAATGCTGCAGAATCGAATCCGAACGGGTCGTACCGAATGTTAAAAAATTCCAAATTCGTCCGGATATGTCGGGCCCGTTCCTCACTACCTAGCTGCTCCATTATGGGCCTGGCGGAACCCATAATGGGCTGGCTAAAAAGGATTTCTTAGTCTCCACAGCTACAGGACAGAAAGAGTTAAGAAAAAGCTCTTGCAGTGCAAATTCCGTTAATTCCTTGGTCCTTTAACACACAAAACGCCATATTTTTCTTTCTTACAATTCATGTAATTTATAAACTACATTTCCACACGTAAACAGTACAAATTATTTTTCAGCTTAATATTAGGCCAGGTGCCTGTTGAGCTGTCTAGCCCAAATTCCATCATTACGGTTTGTTATTCTTCACTCATTCTAATACGCATTACTACAGATAACTCTTTTTTCTTTATTAAATATCTGTATGTTCTCCCAGGTTTCACTATTTCAATTCACCCATAACCACCTCCATCATTAGTTTCATAAATAAGTTTCCAGTTCTCAACAACGTTTTCCTCGGCTGGGCGGCACTGACTCCATCTGGTGTCACTATAAAAAACAAACGCGTATATATTTCTCCAATTTCCTATTTACTATTTTTCTCAACGAGTATTCTCTCTTTAACACACTCTTTTTCCTATCCTTTATTATTGTCTTTTCTGTTTTTCTTACCTAAGCACGTGGAGATTTTTCTGGCTCCTGTTGTATACTGAGCCATTGCTCAGGCTTCTGACAACAGGTGGCTTCAGCTAGGTATTTACTATAACACTACTAGTACAGGATGTAGAGTTTTTGCTCATCTTGGCATGCTGGTACTTCGTAGCCACTTTGGGGTGATGCACACAGCCTATTCCTCCCCCTTCCTTGAGTATTCACCATTTTGACTCTCTCTGGATACCTGTCGTGCCAGAACCTCAATATCTGTGCCACTTTGTGGATGGATTCAACCTCACTCTTCATTTTCCCCCCCATTTTAGTGCTGTCGTAAGGTATTTGATTAACTTTCCTTTTACATTTTCCTATATATTATTTTTACTACTCTCCTCACATTTGTCTATAAATAGACGTCTTCTTTCTGTTATCTTCCATCTCTTTCCCTTGTTTGTATAGTTTAGCTGGGAGCTTCTCCTTTCTGAACATTGCCACCAGGCATTTTAAGGCTCATCTGCCATAAGGTATACTGCCCTGTTTCTGGACAAGCATGGTTCATCTGATGTGCCTCCTTGGGTATCATGCAGTCTTTCAACTTCAAGTAGTGAACATCCTTTAAATAAGAGACATTCCCTGGGATTTGTAGTGGAAGGTTGTGCTGTAGGTTTGTCTGTAATCGGACAGGTTTACTATCTTGCCTCCCATGACCTCAATCCATCCTTAGGTTCTCTTTTGGGGAGTTAGCCTCCCTAATAGCACCTACCAACCCTACTACCTATTATTGTGTCCTCTCTTCAGCAGACCAAAAGCATGCAAGAGATTACAAAACATGCATACTGATTGAGTTTGAGTTTTGTCATTTGGATAGCAATACAACTTTCATACAGAAAAACTTGCAACAATGTGTTAGAATACGTAGTATAATCATATATCAAAATCTGAACTATTTTAAAATAGAATAGATTGATGGGGTGCCTTCCTGAAAAATTGAGCCATACTCAGGTTCATGAAAAAATCAAAAAATTCCATATGGACAGCCCATTGATCAAATTCAAATCCATAACCATAGCAGTGTGGACTGGTTTTATCCAGTTAGCCATTTTAAAATGGTTAATTGATATTTTTGGCCACCTTATATTTGTTTATATACTTGATTTATATTTTCCAAAGGTTTAGAAGTCATCTCTCTAATATTATTGATAAGTTAACCTGGTGTAAAGATAAACCATAAAATGATATGTTGCATTGTAAAGCAACTTTAATATAGGTAGATAAGCAAACCAATGTTAGAGTCAGTTTCATATAAAATGGACTGTCACTACTTACTTATCCAGCCATATTAAAGCTGCTTTCCAGGCAACATACCTAATTACTAATTTTATTAAACACAAACTATAGAAATTAAGATTCCAGACAGATTAAAATTACAAAGACTTTTTATTTACTGTAAAATATCATTGTGCACATAAGATAAAATGAAAAACATTTTTCAAATTCATATTCTTTATACAAATGAAATATATCCATAATCTGACATTCTATGGATTTCTTATGTAAAGAAACACATTTAAATATAAAATATTGGACTTTAAAATATAGGATGTCTGGAATGAGACTGACACATTTTGAAAGGCTATAAATTAGGTACACAGATAGGCTGAAAATCCTATCCATGCAAGATTATTGGTGCCGGGTGATTATTTGTTGTGTTAGAGGCAGCCTGGCGCCAATAATCTTGCAACATGACAATGCTCGTCCACACACCTAGCATGCAACTTGAGAGGCTCTGCGAAATCTGAAGTTTGAACTGATTCCATGCCCTCCTTATTCCCCCGATCTTGTGCCTTGCGATTTTTTTTTTTTTCCACTACTCAAGAGAGACCTGAAGGGTAATCATTACACCTCGGACGATGAGGTAAAGGCAGCTGTCAAGACCTGGATTTGAGAAGAATCAAAAGAATTTTTCAGTGACGGAATGAAAAAACTTGTTACATGTTGAGAGAAATGTGTTTAATCTTGAACGGTGACTATGTTGAAAAATAAATATAATGATTTTGAAGCATAAGAATTGTACTTCAATGTACTTTTTGCTTGATCTTGATATTTGTTTTTGTTCATGTTCTACAAGCATGTGTGCATTACTCTTCAGCCTACTCTCATAAGAACTACAATAAAAGTAAGGTTAATTGGGGAATTCCAAGTTGCCTAGCTGCCTGACAAATGGACTTCCATTGGCATAGTTGGAAAGCTTTCCTGATCACCTCCACATTCTCATCTGATAATCACGGTTCCCCATCTCTAACTTTCCAACATAATTCCTGTATACAGATACCATTCCTTTCATCCTTGATGAGGATAGATGATCCTTTCGAAACAGAAGTTTTGCTGCACTTGGACAATAGAATTTGTTTCAGCTTACTACAATACAGTTTGTGCCATTTTGACAATAGAAACTGTAGCACCATAACTACTTGTTTTGGCATATCTCAATTGATTCTAGAGAAAATTTACACAGTTACACTTTCTCATGCAATGCACTTACCTTTACACACTGAATTTTGACAGCAATTTCAAACATATCAGTCTCAATCCAGACACTCCATATATAATAGATACATTTTTAAAAAAGGAGTAGATATGGTCATCTTAAAGTATTATTCCAGTATAATATGTAATAGAATAGAAATTTCTCTTTCTTTGGATTTGTGAAAGAGAAACAATTAACTTTTTATTATTTTTGTATCATTATACAAAGAATATTGTATAAGATATAAAAATAATATTTGCATAATATTGAAGAGCTTTCTGTAAAGAAAAAATTCTGTATTATGTTTCTGAATTTCTATTCTGTTCAATTAGGAAGATTTAGATGGAATGTGACTGGGAAATATAGAAAATATTATAAATATAATTTTGTTGCTAAAGTTCTGACTTTCTTTCTATCTTGACTAGCTCCACTTCAAATGTTAAGACAGCATCACCTGTTACAAAAAATAATGAGTTAAATATTAATATTTGATATTTATTTCAATACATTCGTAAACAAATACATCTTTCCACAAATCATGCATCAATTATTATTAAATAAATAATTGATAATACAAATTGATCGGACGATTGAAACAGTAATTATCAGTCTATTATTCCAAAGCTTTCAGTCAAACTACCCACAAAAATTCCTGACGATTCAATCCAGATCATTTTTTTAAACTCTTTCTGCCCTGTGAGTAAAGCTTTTTAATAAGCCTGTTACAAGTTTAGCAAAGCCCAGAAATGGGACACCATCAACTGGGTAATGGCAATTGGGCAAAGAACTGGGTGACAAAATATGAAATTTTTTCTTTATAAAAATCACTGTTCTTTTCTGTTGATATACTACCAAGTAAATTTAAATAAGACTTTTTAGAAATGAGTTAAAGCAGTTATAAGAATGATTTTGTAATTAACAAACAAATTTATACATGTTACATACATTATTTATTTATTTTTAGAAGTAAATAGAAAAGTCTCAAAGTACAGTTGATATCTACCCCCAAAATTAACAAATATACATAAACACAAAGGCAACAATTATATAAATTTAAAAATACACTATATTACACATTAAATAGAATATAAATTAAAACAAAAAACATAAAGTTCTTTGAAAGAGTTTGTTTTTGAAGAACCGCTTTTCTTTAATATGCTTTGCCAGCTGATTCTGACAATAATACATACAATAATTAATGATGCTACAATACTTTGTTCCAAAACATTTTCTTTTCCTAAGCTGGATATAACTCATAACTTATAACTCGTACCTCATAAGTCTTAACTATCAATACATTTACATTTATATATATTTTACTAATACAGTAGAGCGTCGTTTATCTGAATCAATTGGGGACTGGGGTTGTTCGGATAACTTATTTTTCGGATAACGAATCATGTAAGAAAAAATATATTAATTTATCCCGTGTTGAAATTTCTCTCCGTTGCGTGTCGCTTTGCGTTGAATTTTCATCGATGTTAAGCCTAACGAAGACTATTGTATCGTTAAAAATTATTTTTTTATTTTGTACAAACAAAATAAATTTATTGAAAAATATAAAAACAATAAAAAATTATACTTCAGATGTTAATTTAGTATCAAAAACGTAAAATATTTGAGTAGCCCGAGAAATAGCCGAAGATTGCAGCGCCACAGCACTAGCGAAAATTTAAATTTGCCGACAGGAATGCTTTCGGATAACGGACGTTTCGGATAACCAGCTTTCGGATAAACGACGCTCTACTGTATTTACAAAAAATAATACAGGTATACCTCGCCTTACGTTGGTAATTGGTTCCGAAAAAGCGACGTAAGTCGAATTTAATTGTCTCCGAATCTACTCATCACTAGGCTAAATCATAAATTATCATTCCCTGTTCTGTATTTTACTTATTAATGCATTTTTAATAATGTATGGTTAATAAGGATCTATTTTAAGCTTACAAACAAATAAATTTTAGTTTTTAATATACTGTAGTACAGAAAAAAGTAATCTAAATTTACGAATGCATGTACTGTAAATACAGTATATACTTGTAAATGTATATATTTTAATATGATTTTATGTACTTTAAACGCTTTTCTAGTGATATTACGACTTCAATATTTGTGGCAGACAGACATAAAGTAGAATAAAATGACTTAAATTTGATTTTTATTTTTCCATATACTTTTTTGACAAACGACGTATAATCGGGAACGACGTAACTCGAAAAGACGTAAGTCGAGGTATACCTGTATCTGCCAAATTGTATGCTTGCTAAGCATGCTAAAATTTTTAAGTTTCTGACACCCAGTTGTGTACCCCCCAGAAATGGTATGGGCAAGTGGTGAACCCAATGTATCTGGTCAGACCACATCCCAAAAATTTCCTAGGTTTTTTGACCTGTCCAGAATTAATCCTGGGTTCCCCCAAGAGTCACCATCTTAAACATTTGGCTATCTGCCAGTCTAATCCAAATCATCAGAAATTTTCATTGGTGATTTGATTGGACTTATTGGACTGCATCTTTCACTACTTATCTGCCAAGTTTAGTTTCTGTTAAATAAAGTAATTTCCAGACAAGCATATTTAAGAAATGAGAAAAGACAAAAATTTGTTATTACTCTAAATCTATTTAAAGTTTTGTTCTTACTATAAATCAGTGGTGTGCCGTCATTAGAAGCGGTGGAAGCGCCACTTTCCTTGTATTTTATAAAAAATAAATACATATTAATTTTAATTATATGAAAATAATCGCACAATATTTTATTATAACCGCATTATGTATCTTATTACAAATTTCTATACTACACGTGAAAAAAAAAATAAGATTGCTATTGTATATTCGAATATTAGTGGCGGAGTGGAATCTCTGTATTGTCAGATTCCAAAAAGCCGATTTGCGCACGTGCTTTACAGAGCACCAACCTCACCCAGTTTAGCCGGTGGAAGCCTACAACCTTGAGTTGATGCTACACATATAACGCTTCCAATTCTATCCGGGACTGGTTCTGGGCTGTTAGCCGCCCACCAGCTAGATATTTGGATGATTACGTGAATAACGAGTAGATTTATAACTTAACCCAACCCATAAGAATTTACTGGTATGTTTTTACGATAGTTCTGTATAGTTGACAGGAGTTAAAAAAATCCATTAAAACATTTGATATATTTATTCTGCTCTCCGATTTTATATTACTCACGGATTTCGATGTTAAACCAGTGATATTACGATTTCGTATATCCCATCTTTAAGGGAATGTAGAAAAAAACGTGTATAATTCTTGTATAATGTTAAAAAAATTAATCGTTACTTTAATAGCATCATTTACAACTAAATTTAATGAATGAGAGAGATGCACAAGGTACAGAAAAAGCTGTAGAATTTATTTTCCTTAAATTTATGATTTATGTATCCATTTGTCATAAAAATTTGTCTTTCTACTTTTTCCCGAGACTACAAATATTCGAGTACAAAGTAACCGGTTTTGACTTATTTCTATTTAAGAAGTAGTTAAATAATTAAGCGATTTAGGGAATTGGGGACACGAAACCCTGATGAAAGAGCCAAAATTTCACTTAAACAAAAGCCTAACCGAACCAATCTCTAGCCGAGTACAGTGGGAGTGATTTCTTCGAAATATTAGATGTATATAAAGACAGACATTTTTCCAGTTCGACGAGAGTGACCGAAAAGTTGTAAATTTTGGAAATTTCCATAGACAACACCTGGTCCTAAAACGAATTAGAAAACAAACGACAGACAATCTATTAAGTTTAACATATTTAGACTTTTACAGCTATGGTGAGAAACACTTAAAATTTACAAGAACCCTGTCGTGTCTTTTGACATTTGACATTGACCAGTATCGGCACCCTCGGGATTTGGCAGTCCGCATGCATGTACTGTACACACCACACACCTAGCAGGACCGTCTCTGATTCCATTCATAGGGAGCTATTTGACTAGTGGTTAAGATTTAAAGAGTAAAGAATATTTTATGTTACTTTTATGTACGTTTCATTACAAAGCTATATTTAATTATAATTTTCTTTAAAAGTATATTCATACAATTGAAGAATGTTTTGTACCAGGTATGTATATCCACCACACATTTTATTTCACCAAGTAAGATTTTATAACCTCTTGGGATGCCGCGTGTCGTATATGACACGCAATTTTCCTTCCAAAGAATGAGATGCAGCTCTGCTTTTTTGCTTGCTAAATAATTATATTAGTTATACATTTTGTCATTAGAGTTTAGTGAAGCTTATTAGACCACTTTCATTACACTGTGACAGAAACAAAGGAAAATGTAAGTGATTGTCTGAGTACATGTTTTTGGAAGTTATCATAAGTATGACTTCTTGATGTTAGTATTCAGTTTTCTCTATTTCTATTGATTATAATTTTACAATTTATGCACGTTTTTGTTGAGGAGACTTCTAAGATTATATAGGAGTATTTTTTAAAAACTATATTAATAACAATATTTCATGAGATGAGCTAACTTTTCAACGTATCGTATACGACACATTGGGTCTCAATGTTACAATAATTACATTACAGTGTATGAACTGTTTTCGTATTTGCAAGTTATTTACTTTTATAGATATTTGGTTATTAGGACCGCAATATGTTTTCTATTATTTATTATCATTTTTAATTCAATTAATTTATTAATAAAAATAATTATTTTTTTTTATTCATCACAAATTTCTGTGATTTGTTTTTGTCTACTTATTTTTTTGGTCTGCAAAGTTTTTTTTTATTAAAAACTTATAAATTATTAATATCATAAATCACATATTTATAATAAATGTCAATGATCTAGTTTTAATTTATCATTGTCAACAGCGAAAATAAAAAAGAAACATGATAGGACACATGATATTGATAGAAATTTGTCTGAACTGAAAGTCTGGTTCAGTGATAAAGACATGACCAAACATTTGTTCTTTGAGCAGACTGTCCTGGAGAGTGTAAGTCATTAGTCTGCTCAAAGAACAAATTAAAAAAAGTGTCAAAATCGCTATCACATTCAGACAGTACAGGCAATAAGAAAAAAGGGATCAATAAAAATGACGAAAAACGAAGAAAATCATACAAAAAATACTTCAACTTTGCATCCCAGTGAAATACAATGCAAAAGTGAAGCAAAACACATGCTAGAAATCATAGTAAATTGCAAAAATTACCACTGCCCAATGGAAGAATGTAAAAGTGTATGAGCTACAGTGTACTGTATCAACTGCAAAATACATCTGAGCCTTGGTAAAATAAAATTTGTTTCAAAGCATATCATATGTAAATATAAAATGTAAAATAATATACAAAAACAGTCAAATAAACCATTTTTACATGAACGGAAAAGTTTGCATCTTGTATAGGTAGAGAACCATTGTGTCATATAGGACACGTACCATTTTTTAATGACCAGAACAAAAAAATTTTAAAAAAATGGCAA